AGCCTCCTACACTGTTGGTGGGACGTAGACGGCTCCAGCCCTTATGAAGACAAGCGTGGAGATGCCTCAAAAGACTAAAATGGGCCTGCTGTAGGCCACAGCAATTCCACCCCCCTTTCAAGGACGCGTGTGACCTTGTCACACCTGGAACACTGTGTCTTCCTCAGAGCAAGGAGCAGGAAGACCCTGCCGACGACGGCTGGAGACTTCTACCCTCTGGGCCAGAGACGACACGTTTCTTTAAAGTCCTAGGATTTGCGGGGCCTCCCCGGTGGCGCAGCGGTTGAGCGCTGGGTTGCGAAGCTGCCCGCAGCCTCTGCAGCGCCAGCTCGATCCCCGGCTGCTCCCCGGCCACCGGAGGAGGGTCCCCCATGGCGCGCAGACCTCTCCTGCCGCCCGCTGCTCCCCTCAGCAGTGTCCTTCGGTCCTTCTGCCTGCTCTGCTCCCCGCTCTGGCTCTGGTGAATTCTCTCACCCTCCTGCGCTTCTGACTGTACCCAGTGCATGTATAAACAAAGGAGAGAGAGAGAGAGAGAGAGAGAGAGAGAGAGAGAGAAAACATGCCTCTCTATATATAAAAAAAAAAAAAGTCCTAGGATTTGCGGCACTTTTTTTAATGACAGCACTAGGAAAGCAATACGCTTCCTGCCCAGAGTAATCACGTCTCCCTTGAGCTAATGGAAGACGCATTTGCTGAGCATTATAAGGGATTTGGGTTTTTCTTTCTTTTTTTTTAAATATTTATTTATTTATGCATACAAGAACTGTGGTACAGGCCAGAGGTGCGGGGGGTGAGAAGATTCACCAGAGACAGAGTGGGGAGCACAACAGGCAGACTGACTGAAATCCACTGCTGAGGGGAGCAGCAGGGAGATAGGAGAGGTCTGCTGCGCCCTGTGGGTTGCTCCCTGGCCGGGGATCGAACTCGTGCTACAGAGGCCGCGGACCGCTTCTTAGGTTGCGTCTTAACCCCTTGCACCACCAGGGAAGTTTTAGGTTTTTCTCATCAGAATTTCCCTCCTGAAGTGCATCTGTTCTGTGAGCCAGCATCCATCTGGCCATTCACACTGGCCCTGAGGAAGCTGAGGCGCAGGAAATAATTGCAAAAACGGTGAAATGCGGGATGTACTGGCCACTGGTGACCCCGGAATGTCGTCCCGCGTTTCCTGCAGCGTCCAGGGAACTGTGGGAAGCCAACTTGTAAAATCTCAGACCCTTCCAAGTTCTTAACAATGGGGTATTCTGCATGGTGCAAAAATCTCTTCCCACCAAATAAAGGGACAAATTAGACAATATCATGAACTCAGTCACCATAAACACTGTACCTATTCGTGTCATTGAAAGAGGTATTTCGAATTAAATATCCCAATGCAATTTCTAATGCACATGCCATTTGGGCATTAAACTCTTAGATCCTTATGCAACAAAAAGAATATGTACATATATACTCTTTACATACAAAAATAACGCTAAGAAGTATTTAATAAGGTGACCACTATGACTTTCAAGCAAAAAAAAAAAAAAAAAAAAAACACCAGGGGAAGGAACAGAATGGAGGTGAGGGGGCAAGAGGAGTGACAGAATCTCTCTAATTGTTACTTAGCATCAGATATTTTTTAAAATAGGAAACGGTAGCTGCCAGGTCTCTGTCGTGCCAACACTACTGGATATACTGGAAAGAACAACTGACATTTTGAAAACCGTCATCATCTCTAATACAGGACAAATGCAGGGTCGAGACTATTTAAATGACAATTTGATTTTTTTAAAAAAGCACACCAAGGGATGATTTTTCCACTGACAGGGAAGGTGCGCGAAGAAAACAAGTCTGAAAACTCTTCATTGCCTCCCTTCACAGCCCTCAGCTCCCCTGCCTGGCGGCCCCGCCGCCCGCCTGACTTCCAGCGCAGCCAGCAGGCCTCGGGCCTCGGCGCCAGCACCACGCGTAGGCAGAGCCTAATGTTGCGCGAATGGATACTGCATGCTGGAGAGATCGCTCATCGCCTCTGTCTGTCCGTTTGGGGGTGCTGCTCTGACCCTGCCCTAGCCTGGAGCCCTGAGACCAGGGGATCCAGGTGGAGGGGTGTCCTGCGTCGCCCTATCTTGTCACCCCCAAAGTGAAATGAGTCTAGAGCTAATCAAGATATTTGGTCAGTAGAGATCAGAACTCTCAGGGCAAAGCAGGGAGCAGATTTTCAGACGTAACTGGATTCTGGAATTGTTCTAGCTTTTAAGACCAGCCAAGGCAGGATTCACTCCCTGGGGGCAGAAAGTAAATAAAAGCTCCCATGACCATCTTCCCCTCTGAAATAAAGGTCCTGCGCTGGCCCACACTTTCCTGCTGTTGCCATTCTAGGCCCAGCCCCTCCCTTTCAGGATCACCCCAAGGCAGTTGCCCCTCAAGCCCCTTCTTGTGCTCCGCCACCGCCCAGAGCGCTCCCCAGGCTCTGACACTCGGAGACAGGGGGACCCGCTTGTGTCTCTCCACTCCCCGGCGCTGATCTCGCACACGCACCATGTGGCTTTAAGTGTAAAGACTCACAGAAACAGACTCTACTGTCACAAGCAGATGGAAACGATACAGACAAGTGAAAACACTTGCACTAGTGAACACGCGCTGTGCGTGATGGGGGGAGAGTGGCCACAGGCAGCAGAGCGTCTCCGGCCTTTCTCTTCTGAGGCATTTCCCGCAGGGACGCCGAGCGCTGTTCGGGCACAAGCTCACGAGGCAACTGCACTGTCACAGCAGCAACGTGGCAGAGAAAGGCGCGGGGGCATTGGTAGCCTCTGCCTGCGGGGCTTTCTTGGAGAATCACGCAGCGTGTTGTTTTCCTTTCTCACTTAGATGGGAAATAAATCCCTTTAAAAAAAAACTTTTACTTGAAGGGAAAATAAATTCAGAAGTTACTGTAATATTTTTATGGGCAATTATAGCAAATAGACTAAGAATGATCTTTTACTTAATAGTAAAAATATTATACTGAAATGACACTGGAAGAGGTTTTAGTTCTGAACAGCTTTTCTTGCCAAACAGACTTTTTTCTTTACTTCCTTGTACTTCTTTTTTTTTTTTTTTTTTTTTTTTTAATTCACGGACTGTGGTTTCACATGCCCCATCTTAATGATGAGAAGCGCTGCTCTCTTGGCGAGGGGCACTCCATCCAGCGCGCTCATGTCCGCTCCTGGGCACCGGCGGCAGGGCCTGCCTGGGGCTCAGGGAGCACTGGGCGTAGCTGTGGTCACCTCCTTAGGGACAATGCTGAGCTTTTCCCTCCTGTCATCCGTTGTCCCTGCCTGGAAAAGGCTAACTAGTTGCAAAAACAATCAGAATGAATTACTTTCAAATGCTGCTTTCCAGGGGGGTCAGCCACCCCTGGGGTATGTCCTGGCTCCCTGGGCAGTGGGGGAGTCACTAAAGTGGGTGTGAGGAGGAAGTTTTCAGAAACAAAGGGCAGGAGAGTGAGAAGAGAGGGCTTCAAGATATAAAAAGCAAAAACTGGCAAAAATAAAGGAAGAAATCCAAAGTCACAGTTCGGGATTCTAAGACACTTCTCTCGGCAGCTGACAGAATAACCGGGCCGGGGAAAAGCGTCAGTAAGAACATAGAAAAACCGGTATTTCAACCAACCATAAAAATTTGGGAACAAGGAACCAGAAAGATTCTAAAAGAAGAAAAGTGGGTGGGGGTGTGGGGGTGCAGTTATGCCGCCTCTTCTAAACTAGTTCTGACATTTCTGTCCCGACTTCACGGCTGAGCACAGGTTTGCCTCCGACGCGAGGACGCCCGGAGAGCCGGGGAGCTGCAGGGGAGGACCCGTCGCTCACGCCACAGCTTTCCTACCCAAGCTCGTTTCCAAAGCCGTTTTCACACGCGTGACCCCACTTTATCCTTTCAAATCCTTGCAAAAAGCAGCCCACGCTTCCTTATCCCCATTTTCCAGAGACAGAGGGCAGGCTCGGAGGCTGACGTGCCCAAGAAACAGAACAAGGTAACTGCCGGGGCAGAGGGCGGACAGTGGACAGATCATGACTGGCTCTGCCGGGCGTGAAATGCAAACTACTCTCTTACTGGAAAGCACCTCTTGCACGTCCGGATGTACAAAGTGATTATGTATCAAATTAGATATTGGATCCTGCAGAGAACGACCATCCCCGGGCAATGACTCAGGTATGGGGTTGGACTCAAGGGAAAACAAAGTCGCAATGTCCAACAGCACCCCTCTGTCCCAGCAGCACCCCCAGATGCAACTCTTAGATGGACTTGTTGACAAACTGAGGTTAGTATTCATCACACTCCAGGTTACCCATAAAAACTGATCAAGCTGTGCCTCAGAAACAAATTCCAAAGTAAGCAGCCTGTGGAAAATAGGTGGATTTACTCTTCCAGTGAGCAAAACACAGCCTTGACATGTGGATCATCTCGAGGACACGTCTCCAGAGTAAAATGACTTTGTCTCTTGACGGGAGCCAAAGTATGTTTAAAACTAAATATACACTCCAGATGTTCTCGGCAACGGCTGGTTACTTAAATATAGGATTTGTATTTTATTTTCTCCTCTCCATGTGCATATTTTCTTTCAGTGCCATAAGAGACCGTGTCATTAAGGCCAATGGTGGTTTTATCCAGGTTAAAAAAGCAACACAGGGACATCAATGGGTATTTCCAGCATCTTGGCAAAACATAAAAGAGCGATTCAACTTTTAGTTCCAATTGTTTTCAATTTTTTATGCAAGGTCAATGTAAAATCTTTTCAGATTCTTACAGAACCTGAGTGAATAAAATACAGAGGTAAATCATTCCTTTCTATTTAAAGCCAACTGGCTTTTTAAAAATATATGATTTTTATTATGAAAAAGAACTCCCCAGAAATCAGGCCAGTGGGTTCTCCAGCAGCCAGTCCAGACAGGTGGGGAGTCGACTTCACCATGTGGGTGAGGGTGGGGCCCTGCCCTGCCCTCCCTGCCCTGCCCTCCCTGCCCTGCCCTGCCTGCCCTGCCCTGCCCTGCACCCGCCCACCATGGGGTGACAGTGGCTCCACCTGCTCAGTTGCTCAGCCTAAAAATAACTGGAACAGAAGGGATAAACTCAGCGCCCGGCAGGTAATATGCTGAAGGATGAAGGACTCCCACGTCGTGGCGTATGCGGACTTTGAAAGGGAGTGGAAAGCCCAGACTCTGTAGAGGCACAAACAAATGTGCGCGGCGTGTCACCCAGAAGAACCCACGGCTGTGAGAGCCCCGGGCGCTCCGCCACCAGCGACTCACCTCGGGAGGGGAGATTTCTCACCTAGTCCCTTGTTTGGGCCTCAAAACTATGATTCCGTAGATGAGAATCATGAAACTGCTAACTCTGTGTTACCGCGCTCATTTATGACAGGAAACGGACAGTCCTCGGTGCCAGAAAGGCCATTTAATATCTTGTCTCGATGGCGCGCCGGGAGGGGCGCAGGGCTAGGACGGCATCAGACACAGGGCTCGGAGCAACATGAAACACCCGGGGAAATCGGCACTAAACAGCCCGTCTGCAGGGAAGCCAGCGGCGGGAGGAAGCAGGGCCGCCCTGGCTGCGCCGGGCAGGCACACAGCAGCCGCGGCCCTCCCCGGGCTGCTCTCTGGACACGCCATTCAGTTGGCCTTCGGGGACAGGGGCCGCTCGGCCACGGAGACTGTCTTGACCTCAGTTCTGACAGGAGCGCGGAGGGGGAGCGGCAACCACAGAGGGCCGCAGTCGCTGGGGCCCACCCGCACCGGCCCGCAGGCCCGCTCACGCAACCCGCCGCTAACCTTTGGAGCCCGGCTTCAGACTTGCAAAAACTTTGGGGTTCTTGAGGGCAAGAGAGACCTCGTTGAGGAAGGAGACGAAGTGGGAGTCCCTCTCGGATTTCTTGGATTCGAAGATCACCACGAGGGTGAAGTGGGGCTCGGGGCGCGTGAGGAAGTAGGTGCTCTGCACCTTGTCGTCATAGAAGTGGACCACCTTGTCCAGGCCGCTCAGCTCGGCCGCACGGTCCGTCATGATCATGATGACGTTGGGCCAGTGCAGGACCGGCCTGTCGCTGGGCAGCGACACCACAGCGGGGTACTGGTCCACGCCCTTCGGGGCCTCCCGGTAGGAGTTGGGGTGGTGGTAGCCGTGGCCCTGAAAGCTCTCGGAGCCGCGGTTGTCGAAGATCAGGGACACGTTGGCCGCGTCGTACTTCCTGATGAAGCTGGAGATCTTCCCGAAGAGGTCGGGGCTGGCCTTGGCCGTCAGCGCCTTCATCTCGGACGCGCTGGTCTGCCGGCTCAGCGCCTCGTGGAAGTAAAAGCTGAACTTGGCCAGAAGCATGTTTTTGAGTTTCATCAGCCAGAGGAAAAGGTGTGGCGGCTGCACGGCCTTCTGAGACTGGCCCCCGAACAGGTGCTTCTTGGTCTCCCGCTGCTTTTCGAAGATCTGGCCCCAGGTCTGCAGCTTGGTGTGCGCGCTGTGCAGGCTCACCAGGGACGGGAGGAACTTCCACTCTGACACCTGGGCCTGCGCCTGCAGGAGGTGGCTCAGGACGCCCACCTCCAGCTGGAAGCTGCTCTCCAGAGGGCTGAGGATGGGGTGGTGAAACCTAAGGGGAAGGGAAGCCAGGTTGAGATTTTCCGCTCTAGAAAAAACAGTGCATTCAGACAAATAATACTGTGGGGGGCCAGAGGGGAAAACATGAAGAGCACCAGGATGCTGATTGACTTGAACAGCTATTCTGAGACAACTTCACCACTTCAGAATTAGGTCAACAGAACAAGTCTCCTGTGGAAAGGGCCTGGCATTTCAAAAACACGAAAATGACAGCAGTGACTGCCTTCTTGTCAAACACAAAGAAATTAAATTAGCTGTAATTCTTATTTATTTTTATTTATTGGGAATTATCTGATTAATGCCCCCTTCCCTGCTGCCACCTCTGACCCCCAACATCCTCCCGGGGAGGGACGCTGAACGTGCACAGAAGGTCCAGTCTGATAACGTGCCGAAAGAGTCAGAAGGATAAGCCAGAGCTCAAATCCTCCCACTCATGCGCTAACTCAACTAACTAATTTGGCTTCTTCAAACATTACATTGTGGAATAAACAGTAAGTCAAGCACATGCCACTATAGCATTTCTCAAAATCTTTGAATGGTAAAAAATGTTCCCACTGTGTTAACTTTTAGGCCCTTTAACACCTAATGACCAGTAAATACCACAAGCTTCCCTAATCAGGGATATGAAGACAATCTCCCAAGGAACTATAAACATAATAAACCTGTTAACAAGAAAAGGTTTGAGATTGGAGAAAAGTCTACTATGAATAACAATACTGAGTTGTTTTTCTGCTTCCAGTTGGAACCGATCATGTATAGCCAACATTCTCCTTGAAAGCACATGAATTCTTGGTACAAACCCTCAGAAAGAATTCTGAACAAGCTTTTCCATAAACAAATACCAAAAGCATTGAAATGCTCTACATTTATTAGGATGAATGTGAGCGTCAAAGTTATTTCTCATCTTTAGGACGAGCTAGAAATTCATATGCATGTTATTCTGCCAAGATGTGGACATCAGCATTACGATGTGTCATGTCCCCACTTCCACCCTCCAGGGGGCTTCATGGCTACTCTCCACTCACACCACCGGAGGATCTGCAGTGATCACCCAAAAATACACTCAGCCAGAGCAGCAAGCCTGAAAGAGTCTGAGTAGAGAAAAAACAACAGCTATTTGCAGAAAACATTTGCTCTAAAAAAAAGTCAAAAAAAGAAGGAAGGGGGGCAGAACACCATCCTTCACAGAGCCGCAGCAAGGGGCTCCTCCCAGAGAGGCATGCAGGTCCCGCGCATCTGAGAAGGCAGAGGCCCGATTAAAAATAAGCCAGTAGCAGCAACAACGTGAACGTACTAAATGCCATAGCACTGGACACTTCAAAAGCGTGGTAGTGGCAAACGTTGTGTTCCATGTATTTTACCACCCACAAATGTCATCTCTCCTAATGTCAACCCATCAGTTTACTGTGTTTGGGATGCAGAGACGGTGAAGACGCAGCGGCTGCCCCACAGGCCCGACCCCGTCTCCACGGACAGGAGCAGGCAGGCACGCGGCTCCCACGAGGGTGTGAGCGGCCGCGGAGAGGAAGGCGCCTCTTCCGTTGAAGGGTTTCACAGGAGACGGGGTGTGGACCGAGCCGTGGAGCTTACAAGTAGGTAGGACTGAGCCACATGAGCACAGGGGCTGGCGTCTCCGGGACCGACGTCACGCCCTTGTCGTGTGACTGTGCAGCCTGGTCTTCACGTGCTCACACCTAGATTCGTCAGACACCACAGAGATTCCACTGCTATTGGTTCTGCTTCGGAAACTTTGAGTAGGCAATAATGAAACTCGCCGAACACCAGCGAACGGCTTCATCAAGTCTTATCACAGATCTTTTTTGGAAGGGCATAAAGTCTAAATAAAGGGTACAAAGTTTAAATAAATCAGAGCTCGGCCTTTGGTGAGAATTTTGTCGCTTGAAGCATTCAGATCAAGAGACGGCTTCCTAAAATGTGATGAGAAATTTTATGTAATTCAGTTGTTTAAATGTTTTTTAAAGTCTAACTATAAAATTATGATTATGATTAGCTATAAAATTATGATTATGATTAAGTAATAAAATCACTGGTACATTATTCTTATACCAGAGGGATTCTAAAAAGCTCTTTAAAATGTGGAAATAATTGCTGACTTCTTAAAAAGGATTATCTCTTAAAATTATATTCTTGATTTGGGAGCGTAAATATTAATTTACACATACAAGCTCATCTCCCAGGACTGTTTTAACCCTGAAACAAAAAGACGAGCCAGAATTTTCTTCTGCGAATTCTGTCCAAACCAGACAAGGATGTTCAAAACTAGTTCCACAGGATCAGAAGACAGTCCATTCACTCCTCTTTCGGGGGAAAAATTCAAGTATTCGAGAAGTAGTAGACGTCCTGCCCCTGCATCGGCTTAATTCTTGTTTTTCCTCTCAAAAGGCTGCCGTGAAAGCCCGCGTGACTCGCGCCGACGTTCACTCTGAAATCCTTCACGTTATTACACGAGAATCTACGTCTGTTTAATAATGGGGTAAATTTACCCAAAGACACCGTGGCCGGGCCACTCTGAGCATGAGGGAGGCCCCGGGGGAGAAAACCCGCCTCCACCGCCGAGGGCGGCCGGGCGCAGGGGCTCGAGGGGGACGAGGGGTCCCCACGAGCCCACACCCACGCGCGCCCGCGGCCCGCACCGCAGCCTGGCGGTCCCTGGAAGGGGCGGGGGGGTCCCAACGCGCGGGCTACCCGGGGCAGCGGACACTCCCCCGACGGGCGATTCTGGGGGTGGGGGTCGGGGGGGGGGACCCCGCGCGGCCCAGGCCGGGAGGCGGCTCTGGGGGCCGCGCGCGCTCCCCGAGAAGGCCGGGGTCGCCCACGGGGCCCGGTCCTCGCGACCCCTCGCCCGGGGCGCGCTCGGACGCCCGCCCGGGAGTGCGGGGCCCTCGGGTGACCGGGGCCTGCGAGGAGGGGGCAGCGGGTCGCGGGGGGAGCCCCTGCTTTATGGGGGGTACCTGCCCGCGACTCCGGGGGCCCACGGGTGACAGGTGAGGAGCCCAGGAAACAGGAGCGCGGGGGTCGGACGGCAGCGAGCACCCCGGACCCCAGGGGACCCCAGGGCTGCAGCCCCCCCCCTCCCCGGCGCCCCCACGGCACCCGGTCCCGCGCGGCCTCGGGACGCTGCTCGGGCAGGTGCGGGGCCCTCGGCGGGCAGGAGGCCGGCGGGGGACAGTCCACGGCGCCCGCGGGCCGGGCTCTGAGAGGGGGCCCCCCCTCACTCCCGCCCCCCAACATGCCCCCCCCCCCCCCCCCGCTCACCTGGCGCTGTACTTGCCGAGCAGCGCGTCCAGCAGCGCCACCAGCTCGGCCGCGTCCACGCTGCGCTGCGCGCTGAGCGCGAACATGCGGTCGTAGAGCTCGGCCGCCTCGGCGCGCGCCTGCACGAAGAAGCTCAGCTGCTCCGCCAGGTGCCCCAGCAGCTCCTCCAGCGCCGGCGCCGCGCCCGCCGCGCCCCGGCCCGCGCCCGCGCCGGCCGCCACCCGCCGCAGCTCGCCGTGCAGCGCCGCGTAGGCCGAGCGCAGCGAGTCGCGCCGGCTGAAGAAGGACTGGCCGCCTGCGGGACGGACAGACGGACGGGCGTGAGGCGCGGGGCCCGGGGCGCCCCCCCCGCGCCCCACGGGGCCCCCTCCACGGGGAGACGCTCGGGGAGGACCGGCCGCCTGCGAGACGGACAGACGGAGGGGCGTGAGGCGCGGGGCCCGGGGCGCCCCCCCCCCGCGCCCCACGGGGCCCCCTCCACGGGGAGACGCTCGGAGAGGACCGGCCGCCTGCGGGACGGACAGACGGACGGGCGTGAGGCGGCGGGGGCCCGGGGCGCCCCCCCCCCCCGCGCCCCAAGGGCCCCACTTCATGAGGAGCCGCTCGGGGAGGACTGGCCGCCTGCGGGGACAGACGGACGTGAGGGCGGCCGGAGGCCTCGGGGCACCCCCGCACCCCGCGGGCCCCCTCCAAGGGGAGCCGCTCCGGGAGCCCGAGGGCCGGCGCCCGCACACGTGCGCCCGAGGGGCCGCCCCGGGCCAGGCCGACGCCTCGCGCCGCACACCTGGCCCGGGACGGGAGGCGAACCCGGACAAGCGCCGCCGCGCCGCCAGGCCGCCGGGAAACCCGCCACGTCAGACGGCGCGCCCTCGCCGGCGGCCGGGAAGGCCCAGCGGGCCAGTCACCCCCTCACACACAGGCCCGGCCGCGGCCCGGCCGCCACAGACTCGGCGTCAGGCCGTTTTCTCAAGGATGCCGCGTCCCGCCAGAAGGCCAGAGGCGAGACACGACGAGAACGAGAGGAAACACACCTGGTCTAAGACGACAACCCGCAGGAAAACAGGACAGGCTCGGAGGGGCGTGTAAACGCCCGACTGCGAGGCACAGACGCGCTGAGGGAGAGATTCATCGCCACCCACACACCCGCCGGGCGCACGGGACCCCGCATTTACAAAATACCTGAATGAATCTCCTTACAACACCGCCTGTAGTTCAGTTCCCGTCCAGTTTGTTTTAAGAAGCCGGTCTTACACCCCTTCTCTCAGGGCGGCCAACCAGGCCCAGGCCGCGCGAGGCTGCAGGTTCTAGCACTGAGACCGGCTTCGTGGGGATTCTTAATCCCTGCTTCAAAACCAGGTCCCACATCTTGGGACCCACCCCCCTCCAGCCCAGGGTCAGTCCAGACAGTCGGTCACTCTGATGACTGTTCACCTAGAGTTTCCTCCAGTGCACTGCCCTGACGGGTGGGCTGCATCGCGTCCTCTCTCCCACACAGGACACCTGTGGCCAGGTGGACCCGCCCTGACAGGAACATGCCACACAGGGCTGTTCTCTCGAGGGTGAGCTCACACTCAGCGTGCTTCTGCGCACTGTAGAGTGAACAAGGACAAACGGGCCTGTCTCCTCTTAGCCTAGGAAGCTGAGAAAACTATCACACAAACCCAAAAGTCCTGGAAGTCTGACACACTTGGTTTCAAAGGCCAGCGGCCACAGTGCTGACAGGCAAAAGATGAAGCTACTTTCAGCCTTAGTTGTTTTTAACATCAAACTCGCAACAAAGCTGCCAAGATAAAGAGGCATAACACATAATGTGCTTGGGACAAAGCGCTGGCCTGTCCCCGCCACGAGAAACAATATAAGAAAATTCCCAATAGTAACAGCTGAGCTTCTGTTAACTCTGGAAAATTGGGAGCTTCAACTACTGTCCTAAGAGTGGCTAGCTGGATGTCTGACAGTAGCTGGACGACCCCAACTGTGCACCGCTCCCCCTGTTAACAAGGTGACCCTGATGAAAAGTTTAACTCTGGGTGGAAAACGGATACCTTCTTTCATCAGATTACCCTCAGCTGGGGGAGCAGTAATACCACACAAAGACAAACAATACCTTTAAAAGCTCATCAATAAACATCAACACTAGCATGTGAAACCCAGCTGAAGAACACCAGAAGGGAAGCGGCCACTAATTCATTCATTGCTTTTAAACGGGTCGCTTCTCAAAAACCTCAGATCACAATCGTGTTTGCTCACTACCCTGGTTGTGTTCACTACCTTTGTGCTGGAAAACAAGAAATCAGAGACGCCCAACTTGTCTCTTTTCCGTTTTTTAAATGTACAAATTATGATTACGTAAAATTATTTCCCAAAGGCTCTAGTTATGACGGCTCATTGTTTCTCAAGACTTCAAGTCTACCTTATGTCATGAAATTTCAAGTAACAAGCAGATTAACAGCATGAAAAGCAGCTAAATGAGCACTTTCATCTGCAGCTTTCTGCTAATGATAAATGTTTAGACATCAGTTCTGAAGTTACTCAGGTCTACTGTGCTAAACGCCAGGAGCCTGGGTTTGAGGACGTGCTCCCTTAATGTTTTGAAACATTTAAACATTGGAATCAGCAAAGTAGTTGAACAGGGCCATGTTGAACAGGGCCATGGAAACACAAAAACTTTTCCCCAAGTTTTTAAGAAAATGGAGTCAACCCTACTTCATGGAGTAGTCAACCCTACTTTATGGAGTCAACCCTGAAGTCTTGCTATCAGCATACTGATAGAACATTTGTACAAAAAAGTACGGTATTTGCAAAGTTAGGATTTTAATTAGGGGAGTCTGATGAGCTGAACATGTATATAATTGACATGGCATTAACGTTTCAGAACACTTGGAGTGACAGGCCGCCTGGAGCCTGCTCAGTGTCTGGGCAGCTCACAGAGTAAATCATCCCAGGGGGCAAATGCAGACGCAGCCCTCTGGCTCTGCAGGCCTTGGGTTCTGCTCAGCAGCGCGAGCCAAGGTTCATGTAGAACTAACGATTTTACATAAAGGTCACTTTATTGAACCCGTCAGACAGGACGGTCTTACAAGAGTTCTTACATACTGTGTGGTCCCTGATGTTTGCCTAAAACCTGACACAGATAAAAGCAAGAATAGCAGATTTTCCAACTGGATTCCATACATACGCTTAAGAGATCCGACTGAATCCTCTAGGATTATAGGCAAAATTGTACCTACGCATCTATTTTTCTGGGGAATAAGTCTACAGTTTTCATCTAGTCTTATAAATGCCCTAAAAAATATTATGAACCATGGCACTGGGGTCAATAGCTATTCTTTATGAAGTAGGGGAATCTAAAACACCAGATTACCCACTTTCTCCCCATTTTCGCTGTCTATATACACACATACTTAGGTAACAAAGTATATATAAATTATAACTTAAATACAAATTTCGTAAACCAGATGTAAACAAATACAATCTGACAGATCAGGGCAGACATTCTGTGGATGGTTTGGGCCTGTCCGCAAGTTTCCAGTTGGTAAAAAAAAAAAAAGGGACTAATTCTGCAACAGTGATGGCCAATTTGTGGCGAGTGCCAGCGGACAGAGAGGACAATCACCCACGGTGACTCTCCCTGACTTTGGCCGGTAGGGAACCTCCGAAGCAGCAGTGACAGAAGAGCTAAGGCAGAAGCCACCACAAAGTCCTGCCCGCGAGCAAGACGGAGCTGTCACCTGGAGCTGTCACCTTCAGGCCACACAAGGACACTGGGGGGGGGGGCACCAAAATGGAACCCACACTCAATTTAATGTTCTGTTCCCCGTATGGTGCCTTCGCCTCCCGTCACGCCAGCCCTGCTTACTGACGGGCCCGAGGCCCAGGGCGCAGGCCTGGGGTCCCCGGGGTGTGCGCGCAGGGCCGGCCTTGGGCTGACTTCTCTCTCCTGACCTCGAGGTGTGGTTTCCGCCGGGAAACTGGGCTGAACCTGCTCCAGGTCTTATTTCCGGGGGTCATTTCCGGAGGGGGCAGCGCTGGCCACTGCCCCACCCTGGCCGCCCTCCCGCCGGGACCCGCGGCCACGTCCCCTCTGGCCGAGGCTGGGCGGGGCGCGGCCCCCGGCACTGGGGCGCCCCCCCCCCCCCGGGGCGCGCGGCGGGGCGCCGCGGCGGGGCGGGGCGGGGCGGGTACCTAGCTTCTGCCCCAGGTAGGTGAGGCCGTGGTACACCTTCTCGGCCGCGGCCAGGTGCGCCAGCGCCGCCAGCAGCGCCAGCCAGCTGCCGCCCGCGCTCTTGCTGGCCTCCCGCTCCTTCTCCACATTGTCCTTGGCCTTGTCGTAGGAGAAGATGCCCAGGTGCGAGAAGAACGTCTCCAGCACCGCCTGCTCCACGGGCACCGGCGCGGCCAGCGGGATGGACTCCCCCATGCGGGCCGCCGCCAGCGCCGCCCACGTGGCCGCCGCGCGCACTTCCGGGTTCGCGGGCGCGCGCGCCGGCGTGCGTGCGCGCGCCCGCTACGCGCGGCTCGGGAGCGCGCCGCCGCCGTCGCCGGGCGCGCGCGGGCCCGCGGGAGGACGCGGCCGGGCGGGGAGGCGGCGTGACGCTCCGGCGCCCCCGCCCGGCAGCCCCGGCCGCGCGGACGCTCGGCCAGGGACGGCGCCCCGAGGTGAGCTGCGGGCCCCGCCGGGGAGACGCGTCCGCCCCGGGGACGTCACGTTCGCGTGGCGTCAGCAGCCGGGACGTCACTTCTGGCCCGGGCGCGCCCGCCTGAGGCGCGAGGAGGCGGGACCCGTGCGGGGGCGGCGCCCCGCGGGGCCGGAGTCGGCCTCGCCCTCCCCCGGCGCCCGTCCGTCCCGTCCCCTCCCCGTCCCCCCCGTCCCCGCCGCCCGCCCGGCCTCCCCGGCCCCGCGCCGCCCTCAGCCGCGGGGGAAACGCCCGCGGACGCCCCCCCACGCCCCGGGCCTGCCCTAGCGGCTCAGCCTGCGCGTCCCCGGGGCGCCCCCGCCCCCGCCGCGCGGCCGCCTGCCCTCTCGGGGCGCGGGGCCAGCGGGCCCGGCGGGGAGGGGAGCCAGCAGCCGCGGGGTGGCGTTGGTGAGCGCACCCCGAAACCCGAGGCGAAGGGACGGGAAACGCTCGGTTAACGGGAAGGAGACGTGGTCGTGGGGAGAGCTTCACCCCGCGTTCCACAGGACAGTTGCGTGTGAGAACACGGCGGGGGGTTAAAGTGCAAGTGAAAATTCAGCTGACCCGGGAGCAGGAGCTGCTAATTATGAAAGACTTTGTAATGAGGTGGACTGGACTATATGAAATATTTTTTTAAGATTTTCTTTATACGAGACGAGAGCTGGGGTGCAGGCCAGAGGCGCGGGGGTGAGAGGACTCACCAGAGAGCGGGGAGCAGAACAGGGGGATCCACTGAAGCACGCTGCTGAGGGGACAGCGGGGAGACAGGAGGGGTCTGCCGCGCCCTGTGGGTCACTCTGGCCGCGGGGACTCGAACCCGCGCTGCAGAGGCTGCCTGCAGCTTCCCAGCGCTGCGCTCAACCCGCTGCGCCCCCAGGGAGGCCCCTATAAAATATTTTTAATTTGTGCATGTCAAGAAGACATGATGCCAAGTGCGAAAAAATATTTGTAATATGTCAGAGGAAGTTTTCGTGTACTTTATATATCAAGATTTCTTGGTCATAGAAATGCAGGTTAAACTGCTTTCCACCTATCATCGGATTAGCAAAAAAAAATTGTTTTAAGTGCTGGTACACACGCGGCATCTCCATTGCTCAGGGTAGTGACACGAGAAGCAATGAGTGAGTGTGTACGTGTCCAACAGTCCGTGTTTAATGTAACGCCTGCCGTTGTCACTGTTCTCACAGCATCACACCTTTTAATCAACAGACCACCAGGAGTAACACTTAATGGAGGTTTGTTAAATAGTTGATCAGCTGATTCTCCTTATCTTCTAAAAATTTTATGGGATAATATACAGTTAATGACGTGTCAAGCTATTAAGACATTAAAGTTATGAAGAAGTTACCTGGAATGATCACCACGTGCATCCCCTGAGTAATATATTTTGGACAGTAGCAAGAGATGCGTTCACTGTCAAATAGCCCCCAACTCAGTGAGTTAAAACAGTAAAAATCATCTCTAATTCCTCACGATTCCTGTGAGTCAAGAACTCAAGACTGCTCAACGGGGCGGGTCTGCCTCCTCCTCGGAAGTCTTCGATCCCGTGTTGGCTAGGACTGCAGTCCCTTAAGATTCTTGGGAACTGGAGAACTGCTTTCAGTGTGGTTCTCGCGGGACTAGCCCGTTAGCAGGCTGCTGGCCCTCACCGTCCTCCCCGCAGGACAGCCTGACTGTCCTCACAGCATGGCTCTGCCTTATCCTGGAGCACAGGGCAAGAGCCAACTCTGGCGAGTCCACTTCCGTGCCTTCCACTCGGCCTGTCTTGAGGCTGTTTCTCATTCTGCCCCAGAAACCTCAGGTTGGTTGATTTGAGTTCCCAGTGAAGACATGAGGAGGCTTTTCAATATTATAGGGAATCTGTATCTGGGACCCAGAGTGTCCAAAATAGGGAAGCTTCTGGCTTTTTCTCATAAGTGTCTTTAAGATGGAAGATGGCCCCAGATGGACCAGACATGTGCCATGCGTGGCTCAAGACTAGACTTCTGTGCGCAAGCCCAAGCTAAGATCAGACTGGCATTCAATCAGCAACGTGGAAGAGCCGCCAAGGAAACCCTATCTGAGAGGGTTACTATCCAGAGTATAGTAAAACAACAACAGCAAAAAAAAATACCTGATTTTTAAATGGGCAAGACAGCTATTACATGGCCAACAGGCATATGAAAAACTGCTCGACATTACTCATCATTAAAGAAATGCAATCAAAGCGCATGGAGATACCACTCACACCCATTAGAATAGCTACTGTCGGACGACAGACAATAACAAGTGTTGGGAAGGATGTGGAGAAATTGGAACACTTGTGCACTGCTGATAGAAATGAAGAGGTGCAGCCCCTTTGGAAAAATCTTATGTGGAGGTTCCTCAAAAAATTAAAAATAGGGCTTCCCTGGGGTGCAGGGTTCAAGGACACAGTGCTATCATGCTGTCGCCAGCCCCTGCAACATGAGGCAGATCCCCGGCCAGGGAGCTACCCACGGCGCAGCAGACCAGTCCTGTCTCCCTGCTGCTCCCCTCAGCAGTGTGTTTCAGAAGATCCGCCTGGTCTGCTCCCTGCTCTGTCTCTGGGGAATTCTCTCACCCCACCCCCACCCCCACACACACGTCTGGCGTATGCCCCAGTTCCCGTGTGCATACATAAGTAAACCTTTTTCAAAATTAAAAGTGGCATATGGTCCACAAGTCCCACTGCTGAGTATATAGCCCAGATAACTGACAGCAGGATCTTGAGGAGGCATTTACACACCCATGTTCATCACAATATTATTCACACTAGCAAGAAGCTGGAAGTCACCCAGATGCCCATAGACAGGCAGAGGAGTAGATAAAATCTGGTAACAAAATTACAAACAATGAATGTTTTTCAGCTTCACAAAAGGATGGAAGGAAATCCTGTCACGTGCTACAACAGGGATTCTGAGGACCCCGTGCTAAGTGCAGTAAGCCAGCCGCGAAAAGACAAGCCTGTGTGATCCCACTTAGATGAGTGGCGCGCCAGGCTGCGAGGAGAGAGGGACTGGGGAGCATGTAGAGTTTTCAGTTTCACAAAATGAGAATGTTTTATAGATCGTTGCACAACAATGTGCGTGCCCTTAGCAGAGGTGGCGCGGGGAAGGGCGAGAGGAGGGGAGGGCGGAGCAGCCTGCTGTCTTCTGCAGATTACACTGCGCACGCACACTGTGTTTCTGTATCGCTGGTCTCCTAGGCGCCAGAAACAGGTCCTGTTCTCATCACTAGACAGAAGGAGGCTTCACAGGGATCAGGAGTTCACCAAATCACTAGAGGGCTAAAGAAAGGGTGACTTAGCAGGGCCCCAGGAGCAGTTCCTAGGACAGGACGCCTGGATAGGTCCACTGGGGAAGCAGCTCCTGTCTCTACAGAAGGAAAGGTGGGCAGTCGGGACTCCGCTGATCACTGCCGAGTTCAAAAATATCCCACTGGAGCCGTAAGCCCAGGGTCAGGAACCGCCGCTGCCCTTGCAGCTCCATCTGAGCACCCACAGATTTAATGCCAGACCCTGAAGTGATGCCGTAGAGTGTGTCCCCAGCCACGTTCGCCAGCAGAGACAGCAGATGACCCCAGCCTGGGGCGTGTGTTCCAAGTGCTTCTAACTGGCAAAAGCAGACCCTGCCTGCAGGGCACAGGGGGTACGTGGCCTGTTCTTTTCTGGCCACTGCTGTCCAGGAAACGCCAGGGGCTCGGAACGGATGATGGCAGCCCGTTCAGGGTACTTCCCACAGGTGGCTTGTGCTTTTAGGCTCTTTCTAACCCCTCAGCTTTGGCCAACTCCTTGTGCTTTTATTTGAGAAAACTTCTCTGACACTCCCTTCCCTATTACCGTACCTCTTTCTTGTAGCTCTGCAATGTGTGTGCTGTTTCATATGGCAGCAGCCTGCTTCCTGCACTGCCTTCACCAGACTGCAGCTCTGTGAAAGCAGGAATTCGTCTTGCTCATCGTGGTCTAGGTAACTGGTGCATATCTGCTGATATCTGTGAAAATGCAACTTACTGGCTTTCTTTTTGACAGAGTGAACACACGCTCCACCCATGCTGTATCTGTCCTGGTCTGACTCACTGCTTACCTGTACAGGTTCAGAAATGTTGTGGATAACAGCTGTGCTTGAATAGTTTCAACACACCAGGTAATATACTGTCACACAACACACATTTGTACTCGCTTATTCCTCTTCATTGTCCTATTAGATAAATACTATTTTTATTCCCATTTTATAGATGAAGAAACGGGGCTAAGAGAAAGTGAGAAACTACTCTGCAGTCACACAGTAAGTGGCAGAACTGGACTTACATCCAGTCTAGCTAATGCTGAAAGTCGTGCTCTTCACCGTGACGGTGCTGATAATGACTGGATCATGACAGCTAATGGTTTCAGACATGGTGCAAAGCGGTTTACATGTGTTCTCTCGGGCTTTCTATTTTTTTGCATAGGGCTGGTGCTTACTAGTTGTTCCATGTGATAAGGCAGTCAGAGCTCTTGGTATCTGTGTTCTAGTCCTCTCTGCCACGGATTCACCATTGACCTCAGGTAAACTGCTAACCCCAATGAACTCCGTTTTTGTCCTCTGCAAATCAGCAAATCATCTTTAAAATATTTCTAGTTCTAAAATTCCACAGTTCTGAGAAGAAATTGTTTTTTTAAATTTCCATTATTATTACTTCTATATACTATACTATATATATAAACTACTGTCTTGATTTTTATTGTTTTCTCACATCTTCCACAGTATCTAATCTGGTGCTCAGCATAGTACCTGACAGCTCATGATGTGTGTATGTGTGTGTGCACGCACGCACGTGCGTGTGCTTGCGCATGCATGTGATCAAAGTGATAGGGATTTGTCCTGGGAGAAATATCCATCTTCATAAGAATCCAAACTTACTGTCACATTACCTTTCTTTGAGGGTGACATTCAAATGTAATGTAGGGCTGCCTGGAGAGATCAGCACTGGGCACCTTGGGAACTTTCCTGCCCTCAGAGATAGGATCTTATCTTAGAGCAAAGCTGTGGTGTACTGTGGCCACAGCCAAGCAGCTACCTCTGCAAGTGCACACAGGACGTCTCTCATGAAGACTGCCAGGAGTGCGCATGAAAGGGTCCTGGCCTGTGGATAATACCAGATACGGCAGGGAATTTTCTACAGGGAAAGCAGCTTTTATTCGGCTCCCTATCTCTTACAGGCAATCAGAAAATTGCCTTTATTATAAATCCTACTGCTTTTCTGAATCTTTGAGAAATCTTTTTAGAAAATAATGGGGTTTTTTTTAAGAAGCTAAAATTTCCCACAAACATGTATGTGACTTATGCACCATGCAGAATATTTCAGAAACTTTGTCTTTACACCTGTAGTTCAGACAGAAAAAAAACTTCCTTGAATATAGATCAAATGGGAGAATTTGAGCTTATAAACAGAGAAATCTAAGTAACTTTAAAAAGTAATTTTAAGTAACTTTATTGCTGCAATTTTTCATTCCAGGGGAGTGACAAAATCCATCTCTGATGTAGATGGAGCTTTTGTCTAGGGAGAGAAAAAAGGTTGGGCTTTTGGGGGTTGTGAGTTATCCCTTAGGGCAGGGTGCAGGGGGTTTGGCAGTGAGAACCACTTTGATCAAATAATAAAATTGCAGAGATTTATGTGTAAACAACTCAGAAAGGAGATGGAGGGGGAGGAAGTCGAACAAAATGGCTACAGGCAGGGTCTGAAAAGAAAATACAGTGAGAAATTCCTTATATTAAAGATGGCCAAAAACTTCTGGGTACTTGTATTTCTTGTCCTGTGTATACTACCTGCTCTGTTATTTCCAGCCTTTCAGTAAAAGTCTGTTATAAGCACACCTAATGGTGACTAAAAGGAGGAAACAGTGGTTACAACTAGGATGAGGAGGGGCAAGGAAAAATAGCAACCTCAGGAGAGAGAAACACAGAGATGTAGAGTAAGAGATGATCAAGGATTCCTTCTTAACCTTGGGTTGACCTTGAGCAAGCATACCTAGTATTAAAGAGCTGGATAAACTTAGAAGCATGAGACATTTTAGGTCATTCAAAATCACTCTGATCCCTAAGCAACAGACAAACCCCCAGGCAGTGCAGAGCTAACATGGGTGTGTCCACTCACTCTTCATTCCGTTTTCTTTAAGAATTTGAATACAGAGAATTCACAGAGAAAATGAGATTAAGGACCATTCATCTAAATGAAAAAAATACTACATATTAAAAAAAAAAAAAAACCCAAAACAGAACTTTATAACCTGCACATTTATGGAGCTGTGCATTTCTTAGTAACTGTCACCATGGCAGCAAGGCAGGGGACCAGGACGCCTTCTTAGCACAGTGCATACAAAGGCGAGCAGTTGCAGCTGATCATGTGCCGTATTATGCCTTTTTTATTTAATTGTGTTGATCTTAAATCGCTGACTGTTAGCCTCTGATTCTTCTCTCCCTAATAGCATTGAGCACAGTGCTAGGAATAGGGCACTAAAACACCTATATGCGGATTGATTAATAAACAGTGTTTCAACTGTGTCTTTCCTTCCAAGCTATAGTCACCTGGCAGAAATCTGATTTTAAAAAATGGCTCCTACTTTTGTCTAGGAAATCAAAACTAGGCCGGCCCAACATGGATTTCAGATGGAAAGAGAAAGGATATCAAGTACTCAGAGCCTCTAGACTATTAGAAGGCTAATGTGTAAGTGGTAGAGAGTAAATAAATGCACTTTCAGCAGTACAGCCATTCAGGGCCCAAAAAAGACAGCACCATCAAGCTGTCGCCAGCCATGCAGCACCAGTTCGATCCCCAGGCCAGCCAAGGAGCAGCTCACAGGGTGTAGCAGACCTCTCCTGACTCACCTGCTGCTCTCTCAGCAGTGTATTTCTTCGCTCAGTCTGCCTGTTCTGTTCCCCGCTCTGTCTCTGGTGAATCTTCCCACCCTCCCCCACCCCACCCCCCTTGTATCTCTGGCTATACTCCCGCTCTTGTGCACATAAATAAATCAATCTTTAAAAAAATGTGTGTAAAGAATCACAGTGCTGGTCTCGGGTGTAAAGAAGAGTTTTGGCAGGAGTTTTAATGTCAGGCCTGAGTTAAAATCCTGCGGAAAGGAGCTCCACCAGTGTGGGCTTCAAACGGAGGCATTTTAAATCCCCTCGCCACACCTTCTCCCCAATTAACTCTTAACCTGAGAAGCCTCCTTATTATAAGTTCTTGAGTTAATGATAATCTTTTATTATTGCTTCGTCCCTAATACAGCCTTACATTTCTTTTTAATTGTTATCTACATGGCTGCTCTGCATTTCCATTTCTATTTTTAATGTTTTGTTATTTCACATTTCTTCTAAAAAGAGTTTAGCTGCAGACATACCTTTTTATTTTAATAGCCAGCAAACCAGTGTTTGCCATTTTAAAATCTGAGTTCCTTGTATTAGGTTGTTGGGAAAGTCATAACATGTTTTTGTTTGTCAAGCAAAATGCGTCATGACTTTTCTGACAATAGTTCAACAGATCCTCATGGTATCCACCTCCAGTTTATAGAGTAATATCGTAATCCTTTCCAAGGTTGAAAACAACTGCAAGCATTTAGAATTCTTTAGTGGCAGTTGCCATTTGATAGAGCCCAAATCCGGCCCATCTGGTGGGTCTACCACTTTGCCATCAGGATATCACCCTCGAGGGACAAACGTGCAGGACAAGTCTCTTGCAAAGCAAGCTACGACAGCCACTTTTCCCAGAGAGGAGCAGGTTAAATCCTTCCAAACCTGCTAAGTAACTTGAAAGTATTGTTAGCTGCAACATGTGTTTCTTTCAAAATTACTTTTGAATCCCTTTGCTACCCGGAGTCTTCACTTGGAGGAGACCATAAGTCTTTTTTTTTTTTTTAAGATTTATTTATGCTTACAAGAACTGGGGTACAGGCCAGAGGTGGGGGGGAGGTGAGAGGATTCACCAGAGACAGAGTGGGGAGCAGAACAGACAGATTGACTGAGATACACTGCTGAGGGGAGCAGCGGGGAGACAGGAGAGGTCTGCTGCTCCTTGTGGGTAGCTCCCTGGCCGGGGATCGGACTTGTGCTGCAGTGGCTGTGGACAGCTTCGTAGGTTGTGTCTTAACCCCTGCGCCACCAGGGAGGTCCAAGAGACCACAACCCTTGATGAGCCTAACTAATTTAATAGGAAGTTTGGGGAGCAAATAATGTGACTTCATTTTATCAAAAAAATACACAGGCCTAATACAGAGTCCAGGTGGTTTTAGCACTCAAGTCTCTCATCAAACTTTTTGCCCCTGTGTTTGGCACAAGGCAGGCACAGGCGCTCAGTGGACACGAAGGTCTCTCCCTTTCTTCCAGGTATATTTTCTACTGCCCTTCCCCACCCCCCCCCCACACCCCCAACCTCTGCCTGCGCCATAGCTTACTCTGGCAACATGGCTGCTGCGTTTCCTGGAGCTCCTCCTGCTTTCCCACACCTTTCTGCTGCTGCCCGGAATGCTCTTCTTTCACATTCCAGGCAATGAAAAGGATACTCTTTTTCAAATCTCGTCTCAGTGCTACTTTCTGGCTCTGTCAGTAGATGCCGCCTCCCAACTTGGTTCCAAACTTGGAACCTTCGGGTCATTTATTAACAGCTACTTTACAGTTATTTCTGTGGCTAACTTTTTTTTTTTTTAGTAATTTTTTTTTTAATAGAGGCATGTTTTATTTATTTATTTATTTAGTTTTGTTTGTTTGTTTATACAAGCACTGGGTACAGTCAGAAGCGCGGGAGGGTGAGGGAATTCACCAGAGCCAGAGCGGGGAGCAGAGCAGGCAGAAGGACTGAAGGACACTGCTGAGGGGAGCAGCGGGCGGCAGGAGAGGTCTGCGCGCCATGTGGGACCCTCCTCCAGTGGCCGGGGAGCAGCCGGGGATCAAACCGGCGCCGCAGAGGCCGCGGGCAGCTTCGCAACCAGCGCTCAACCGCTGCGCCACCGGGGAGGCCCTCTGTGGCTAACTTAACCCGTTTTCCGAATAGTGAGCTGCTTAAAGCTAGGGGCTGGGTCTTACTACTCTGGGTACCAGCACATCGTTGATCGCCAGCACTTAGTTGTGAAATCCTTACAGTCATCAGGTTTGCTAATGCCGTGCTATGAAGACCAGCAGGTTTTTTATCATTTTTCTTAGTGAAGTCGAAATGTTGTTCTCGTACAGATGTTATTTAAACTCTAAAACTAGATTGCGATTGTATCTTTGTGAATATTTTCTTTTGTAATTTTTCAGAAGACTGGAGAACTTTTTAAAACTCTGCCTTTGTGTTTTAAATGATCGTAAACTTCTTTGGCTCTTTTGGTGACTTTGGTATCATTAAAATTTTTATCTCGTGAGCCACAGAGATCTTCCGAGTGTGAAGTATATGTCTATCAGTGCGTTCTTAATTCCTCTGATCATCCCCGTCATTCTTGCTCACATTGCTGAGAAGTGGCATTTCCATCCATTTATCCATTTACACATGATGCAAAGGTCTTCTTGGAGACCCTTGAGGTTGTGCTTTCTCCATATTATTAAGCTTTCTTTTTACAATTGCCCTCTTCTTGACACTTCATGATAAAATTGAAGAATCTCTTTCACAAATTTTTTTTTTAACTAGCTGTCACCACCTGCATGACAGAGAGAGAGGAGATGGAGCACAGATTGCCCCCAAATTATGCCTGGAAGTAAATGAAGAAACTTTAATCTTGAAAGCAGTGACAGCTATGTTCTTTAATTCCAAAAACGTCTAGCCCTTCTGAGGAAGGTTTGTAATATCTCATTGAGGAGATTTCTTAATTTTAATTTTGGGGATACCTTTTTGCTTTTCACGTGTTCGTGTGTTGCACTCACGCTCTACCAACCCCGCTGTGCCGATGACAGGTTCTGAAGATTTAAGACAAAAGAGAGAAAGAGGTGGACAAAACCGTTCTTTACAGAGACTACATGATCTGCAAAACCTGAAGTATTTACTATCGTTCTGTTTATGGAAAGAGCTTACCAACCCCCAGTATAGAATATAGATTGGGTGAGATTACAAAAGATGTGGGTAGGAAGGAGAAATATGACTACCCAGTGGAAATAGATGTGGGTTTTTTTGTGTTGGTTTTTTTTTACTAAAAACACACTAGAGGCAAGAAGAACAAAGGAATCAGGATTTTTAGGGAACTTAAACTACCGTATTTTCACCTGAACCCTTACAGTCCTTCAAAATCTGGGCTCTCCCCACCCTGCAAATTTCTCCCAGAGTTCTATTTGTGATCTACTCCTCTGATCACATATTGTTCATCAGAAACCTCCAGATGTTCCCCAGCACTCGCTGACCTCTTAGTCAAGACTAATTAGCCAGGGTGTTCCATGATCTGACTTCATCTTCCCAGCCTTATTTTCCAGCACTCATCTTTTGGTGAATTTCAAGATTCTGTGCTTTTGCTCATATTTTCTTTTCTACTTAGACTGTATTTCTCTTCTCCAAATCCTAGACATACTTTATTGTTGTTACTGCGAAACATATCAAGCATAGAGAGAAGAAAATAATATAGAAATTGTCCGTGTCCTCAATACCAACTTTTGTTAAATCTTATCATTTTGCCATGTTCTTTCTTTAGTTTTTCTTAAAAAAAGATTACACTTAGACACTTTTAAACCTTAACTACTAGATCCCTTCCAAGCATGCCTACTTGATACGCTCAGTAAGAATGAAACTCTTCCTCCTATGACATCCGTAACATTTTCTTTTTACCTCTAATAGATCTGACTTACTCTGCCCTTGTATAATGTTTTGAATATTCTTTACTACAGTCATTTCCATAAAGTGCTGCAAAGATTATTTTTGATAGTCTAAGGAAAAGATATTTAAAAATGTACATTAGAAATATGTGCACAGAAGTATTTAAAGATATATGTCTAGGATATCAAATCTATGATTTCTCAGATGGTCTTTAGGATCTGTTTAAAGTAGCTAGAGGTATTAGAAAATTATTGAGTAAATGAAAATACAAATGACAGGCCAAAAAAAAGGGAAGGTTTTACTCAAATCATTTGACTTGACTCATTAGAACAGAGACCCAGTTTTGTTTATTTTTGTATACTCCTAAAGCATCCAACTAAGAACAAATGCTGATTGACTTGAATTGATTTCTCTCTGGGACAACAAGCTTCTTGAAAATTATATGGAACCTCCTAGGCCTTCTGCTGACCGCTTTTAAGACACGGAGTGCCCCACATTCCAATAAAACATATGCCAGGAACAGATGGCTCCTATCCCCGCTCTCCCTTCTCTGCCCATTATGATAAGTTGCCCCAGTTGGGCCCTGATAAGTATGAAATAATGCGAATAATAATCATTTTCTGAAGGAAGGACGACTCAAGTTTGCCAGAATGCTCTCGTTAGTTCTGCTTCAACAGCCCAGTCTCAGCAGATTTCAGTGTGCAGACTACTTTGGTTCTTGGATCTGGTCCAGCACACAGACTCACTTTCTCTCACACTACAGTTTGTCGAGGAATCTTTCTCAGCTTCCTTAAAATCATTATTTCGTGGCATCTCGAATAGATGTGGCACTGACACATCTAAAGTCAAATTGGCAACTGCATTTGGTCTTGGGACTTGGCAGTGAGGAGCCATGTTGTTGCACAGCGCGCCCCGTGCGCGAGTTAGCCAAATGATGTCACGCGGTTACACCACCGCTGTCCTGTCTCCCAGCATTTCTGAGTAAATGTGACCCTTTGCGAAGTTTCACTCCTCCTACCCTGCAGTGACCTCACATGCTCTCAGATGTCAGAGGCCTTAACTGTGGTGAAATCTTTTACTCGTCTCCTTCCTTACAGCCTGTGGTCTGAGGTGGTGGATTAGGAGTGTGGGGGAGTAGGGGGAACCCCTGGTGCCTCTGAGTCACACAAGAAGATCAAAACATGTCTGAAGTTTAGTTTAATCCCCCAAAGCTCCATTCACACGGGCTGGATTTCCTTGGGAGAGAACCCTATAAATGTCTGTACATGGTCTTAACTTCCTGGTTTCCTCACTCCTACTTCTAAGGCACGTCTTTCCTGACCTTAAAAAGCCCACGCCAGGGCTGGCTTATAACCAAGGCATATAACCTTTTACTTTGTTATCCCCATGAAGACGCTTTTGAAAATGAACCAGGGAGTGCTGGGAAAAAAGGTATAAAATCAGGACCCACCCCGGGGAACACTGACGTTACCCCACCATGCTGAAATCGAGCCCCTCACTCTCTGTAGCAGAGCCACGCAGTTTGGGGTCTGGGCTTCAACTGGAAAGCCGTGGGGTTTCTTGGGGAATTTAGAGCTTTGTTTTCATTCAGCGTTAACACCTGCGTTCGCGTTCTTTATACTCATTGATCGTCTGTCCACGCAAGGGGCCACTTTTATTGTCCCTGGTCAAAAAAGAAAACCGATGCGAACTTCACACACAGTGAAATGGCCAAGCCGAGCGCAAGTCTCAGCCCAGCATCTTCTTGAGAAAGATGAGGGCACTTTGAAAGAGGAAGGGGAAGGTGCTGTAGGGCAGAGTCCAGGACCCGCGTCGTGGCGTCCTACCACGTTCATTTTGCAAAGGAAGGTGGGGTGTCAGCAAAACACCACCATGCATTACAGTCACGGTGGTTATATGCATTTATTCGTAGAAACCTTTAAGTTATAAATTTGTGTTGATCTCTATAAAAGTGCAAGGAACTTTTTTATACCTAAGTTTATGTTAGTACATATTAAAGAAGTATGGAAAATAATTTAATTGTGAAGGTCTGTAGGCAATGTTAATATTTAAGACTCAGCGCTCTAACTTTGTTAAAGCAAAGTTTTGCTTTTACTTCTGTCTTCTTAATACAACTATGCCCTCTGGTGGTTACAGTTACTACTAGATGTAACATGCTATAATATTTGTCTTTTCCAAATTCATTTGTAGGTCAACTCAAAAAACAGAATAATTTCCCTGTAGAACAATTTGATAAATAATGGGAGATACCGGGATAGCCAACAGTAACCCCAGGGGCCCTGTGTCATTGACCTGCCTTTCTCCCGCCTCCACTGCCCTGCAGCAAACAAATCCCCATGGCTCCAGCACTGCCTCGCCTGTGCCCGTCACCATCAGAAGTAGAAAGAGGAGAGAAGGGGGTTAGTACTTTGGTCAAATCCAACATCTTTATTTAAAATTTTTTTTTTTTTAGAGGCATGTATTTATTTATTTATTTGTTTGTTTGTTTGTTTGTTTATACAAGCACTGGGTACAGTCAGCAGCGCGGGAGGGTGAGAGAATTCACCAGAGCCTGAGCAGGGAGCAGAGCAGGCAGAAGGACCGAAGGACACTGCTGAGGGGAGCAGCGGGCGGCAGGAGAGGTCTGCGCGCCATGTGGGACCCTCCTCCAGTGGCAGGGGAGCAGCCAGGGATCGAACCTGCGCCGCAGAGGCAGCAGGCAGCTTCGCAACCCAGCGCTCAACCACTGCACCACCGGGGAGGCCCCAAACATCTTTATTTAAACGCACACCTTCTGCCCTGAATGCCCTTATCCCCTGGGGTCCAGAGGAGCAGGCCACCTTCAGAATCCTGGGGCGCATGTTAAGGAAATCTTGCTTCATTTCTCTGGCCCCACGCACAGTCCTTCTGAGTCCTCCAGCGCCCGCCACCTTCTAAGTAAAGGCAAAACGGAAAGAAAAGAAAACCCTTTGACCCAAGGCCTTCCTAAACCCAGTAATCTGGCAGACATGTAGCCCAGACTTGTCTCTTCCCATCTCCGTGACGGTCCCCTCCAGAACCTCCCCTGGGCTGACCGAAGAGGGAGGAGCTGAAGGAAGCTGCGGTGTCAGCCTGGCTGGGCCTGGCCTGTGCGTCGCATGTCTGTGGTCCACTCTCCCTGCAGAGAAAGGGACTGCAGGGGTGAAAGGTGAAAGCAGGGTGACTAAGCTATTGCAGTAAGTGTGAGGGTTTAGATGAGAAGGTAAAAGTAACTGTGAAAGTATAAGTTACAAATACACTTGTGAAGGGATTTCCTGTAAGCACGCAGAGAGTATGCATTTGGAGAGTGAAGTGCCGTTCGGTGAGGCTGGTGGAAGAACTGATTTTTATTGGTAGAGAGAAGACAATGAAGAAAATGTAACATTCCTTTTTTTACATGTTTAAGTATTTGGGCACAATTCAGTTTATAATTGAACTATCTAATTTTATTTAAAGTTTATCCAAATCCGTGGACTGATAAGCCTTTAAAGTGGAGGAAGTTTTCTGCCAGTGAGTTTTCTGTTACTATAACAGCTATGGCTTATTGAGGGGCTTCTGTCTATTTCAGATACTGATCATTGTTAACTTGAAAACGGCAATGCCATGTGGTTCATCCCAGTGTATGCTCACCACAGAACCGTTTACGTGTCAATGAGCATCTGTAAAAAACCCTTAAGGTGGGCTTTTTATAACTGATGAAGCACAAGTTCTGGAAGAGAGTAAATGACCTCTCAAAGTCTCATGCCAGGTAGGCCGGCAAGAGTCCACCACAGCATCTGGGGCCTTACTCAGAGTTAGACTGTCCAGGTTTTTAGCCCAGTAGTCTTGCTGCTTTTCTCCAAATAAGAAAAGCTTCAGATTCAAAAGACACAGGCATCAGACACAAGAATCCTTGGCCTGACTGCTAGGAGAACTGCTGACTGTCTCCCCCCTTTGGAGAGTCAAATCCGAGTGAACCACACACACTGGCGTTGCGTTTTAGAAGAAAATACACTAGACGACGAGAAACAAGATGAGCTGGCACTACTGAAGTTTGCTCATAGATCCCCATCAAATTCATTCTTTCAAGAAATGGTCTGCTTTCCTTCCATATTAATCACTGAACCCCTCTGTTCTGCAAATATATTAAATACAAAACAAGTGGTGCTTAAAAAAAAAAAAGAAAGAAAGAAAACATAATGCCACAGCCTGGCACAAGTCACCAGTCAGTCAGTTTTCACCACGCTTATCCAGTGCCTTGTCGCACAATGATTACTGCATCTGGATGATCTAGATTTCAGTAAAATGAAAAACTCTTCATTCTCTCTAAAGCTACATGTGGATCAATTAGGAACTCTATAGATTAGTTATCAATTTGATCAGTTAGTAATTAGCTGCTGAAGTCAAAGGCTAAAAGACATTTATACATCTGAAAAGCTTTCTGTCCACCCTCAGAAAGAACATTTTCCATGCAGCTCTTGCGCTACTAGTGTTAATTAGAGCCAACATCCTTCATGGTGGGGAGTAGCGGGAACAGTGACTTGTCGGTGAAGCCACACCCCTCCTAACACGAACCTGAAGCCAGCGTAATGACCAACGAGTCTATTCTGCATTGTCTACACATCAGGGTCCTCGGAATACCCTGCCTGGTTCCCAGATTGGTCCAAAAACTAAGGACAGTGCTTAGGAGTCACTGAGTCCGCAGCCAGTTGGTGTCCTTTTAGCACAGCAAGCGCGTGTCCCTTCCTTGGGCCGCGCGGGAGGCCAGCACCGTCCTGCTGAGTCTTCTGACAACGCTGTGGGCAGGGTCGTGTGACCATCTCGCGAAAGTGTGGAGATGCTAAGTGACTTCATAGGGCTAAAGCTAGTGCAGAGCTGGGATATAGACTCCACTTGGGCCTCAGAACCCATGCTTGTCCTCTATATAATTTCACTTCTTCTTTAAATGGTAGCGCTGAACGCTGTGAGTGACTGCACTGTGGGCAGGGGGAGTAATTTGCAATGCTTGGATTGTAAAGGTGGTCGAATGGTCTAGACTCTTGAATCCAGCCTGGAAACTGGCAGTGTGTGGTTGCCTTTCTGGTGATCCTTTGTAGCCTTAAAAAGTTATTTATGTGATTTTCACATTTAAATTTTTTCCGTTATTACTTTTCCTGAAAAATAATTCTTTTGTGGCCAGGGTGAATATGTGGTCAACAAGGTGTGTCTGGTCACACTACCAGAGATAGATTATTCAACCAGAAACAATCCGGGTGACAGGAACATTAGCTCACTATGCTCTCTGAGCAGAAGAGCGCAGAGACCCCAGGCCCTCTCCCGAGCCTGGCGTGGCTCCAGCCCCGAGCAGGGCGTTGCTGGGAGCTGAGGCAGGACAGAGCTGGTTCCCACACTGTCGTTCTGCGCTTCCATCGTTTGCCAGCCGTGAGCCCGCTGTTCCTCACTCGTCAGGTCTGAAACGCTGTGTACCTGTGTCATAAGAATCTTTTCATATTTTTCTGATCCTCTCTTGGGAGTAATCCCCCATCTAAAGGCCCAGGACTCTCATCAGCGCCATTTTGTCCCCAGACTAGAGAACAGAAGAATCACAGACCTTGGTGGTGACGGTGACAGTGGCGGAGGCCTGGACACTGTGTCGGGTGATATCGGTGACAGCTGAGAGGAAAGTGTGTGTTCCAGAGAACGCAGGATTATTTGGGATTGATGTAAAAATACCCGGTGAGCTCAACAGCAGAGGACGGCCTTGCCCGGTGCAGTCGTAAGCAGCATCTGGTCCGTCCCGGGCAGAGACCGCGGGGCGTACACCCGGCACCCTGCCCCGGTGGCAGGAGGCGGCGAAAGGGAGGCCTGTCCCTTCAAGGGTGGATGATGACTGATGACTCAGCCAGGACGACAGCTACGAGGCCCACGTGAGCTTGGTGTGTCCCCACGCAGCACAGGCAGGCCTGGCAGGGGCGCTGTCCCGAGGTGGGTTTTCCTCAGACCCCCGCAAGTCATGCGGAGTTGGACAGAGGGTGCGGCTCCCCGACGTGGCAGCTCCCGCTGACACCAGAGTTAGGTTTTGTTGGACCGAAATGGCTTCTTGCCATAAGAAACAGCAGAGACGGCGACCCGGGGGCCGCCTCCCCGGGCTGCGCAGGTGCCCAGCGGCGCCCACCCGAGGGCACATCGCGTCCACGCCTCATCCCCGTGCCTCACCCGTAACACGGGGACCGCCCTTCCCGCGCTGTGCCGGCCGTGCTGTCGCCCCTGTGCGCTGGTGGGCGGCACTGGGATTTGTGCAGCAGAGGCGGCGGCTGTCACCCTACTGCTCGGCCCTCCCCTGACCACCGTACAGCTGCCGCCCCTCGGCGCTCTGGCCCCTCAGCACACGCGGCCCCCCTGGCTCGCTTCGGCCTGCTCCCTCGGCTTCTGGCTCCCGTTGCGGTTTGTATCACTTGAGAGACTATTTATCGTTCTAGAAACACTCGTTCTTAGTACCGCCTTGTGTCTGTCAATCCATGTAAAGTTTCTACTCCACAGCCGGTATAAAAACCCCCGCGGCGCCTTCCACGCGGCGCTGACAGGCTCTCGGCAGAGCCTTGGCTCACAGGCCCCGGGGGGAGTCAGATAATAAACAAACCAAAAAAGCTTTTCTCATCAATATTAAGCGGCCTCCAGATTGGCGTTCGGCTCTCCTCCTAACATTTCTCACGCTGTTTCTGGTGGAGCAGTTTCCGGACGTGGTGGAGCAGCTGCGCGGTGAGCGGGGCCACGGGGTAGCACGGCGGGAGCCTTCTTTCCAGCGCTGGCCCGTGAATGAAGTACCTGCAGTCAGAGAAACAGACCAGTCAGCGACTTTAAAAACAAGGGTTCTCACACTGGTCACGCGAACACGCACACGGGGTCTGTGTGAGGCTGCGGGGCGTGGGCCTCGGCCTGCAGCCGCCCACCTGGCCCACACGCATGCCTCGGGGGCACTGAAGCACTTGGCTTGGGCTCAGGAGGTGAATGTCACGAGTGATGCGTCCGTCACCCCGGCGTCAGGAAGGCAGGCAGGGCTGCGTGAGCCGAGGCTCCGGCTTCTCGGTTTTTCGGCCGGAGAAGTTGAAAGAGTCAAATTGCGGGGACCCCTCGAGCCGAAGAAAGGAGGAGCCGGGTTCATTCCCATGGCCTCAGAAGGGGAGGAAGGACCAGCGGGAGAGACGAAGTGAGGCGGCTCTTCAGACGTCTCCTCGGCAGCTGGACAACCCCAAGATGCACGGCAGTCGCCTGCACAGCCTTGTCACGCCAGCACCCGGTTCCCGCGCCCCTGCAAACTGAAGAGGGCTGGCCACACGTGAGGTCGGATCTCGGCATCTTTCCATAGCTGCTCAGGGGACTAACGCATGACAACTGAAATGTTGCCCGTTTAACCCAGGGCCACACACCGAGCTGCCCGGGTGCAGGAGGGAGGCGGGATGGGTCGGAGCAAGCAGCGCCAAGCGCAGCGTCCGTGACGCGCCGAGGGGACAGCCGGACCCGAGCCCCGGCAGGCGGCCTGGGAGCGCGACACCCCAGTGCCTGTTCTCAGTTTTAAATGTTCGTAACTATTTAAAATCGGCTTGTGTGAGAACGTGCCGCCACACGGCTGGATCTTGAAAGCTTTATGCTGAGTGGGAGAACCCAGACACAGAGAGTCAGATGACTCCGTCCATATGAAAAGTCCAGGATAGGCGAATCCAAAGAGACAGAAAGTAGGTGCGTAGGTGCCAGGGCTTCATGGAGGGGAGAACGGGGTGTGACGGCTCCCCGAGCCCGGGTTTCCCTGGGAGCGACGAGATGTTCTGCAGAGGGTAGCGAGGGTTGCGCCGCGCTGTGACGCAGAGGAAGAGCCACTGACTGTCCTTTAACATGTTTTCAGCGGTGAGTCTCATGCTGTGTAAATCTACTTCAAAATAACAAAGTAAGGAAAAACGGGCGTGCACGCCTCCTCAGAAAGGTCAAACACAATCCTTCCGGAGCCAGAAGGGAACCTCTGATGTAAGCCCACGCAGAGGAAAAACAGGGTCTACGAAACTGGGGTGAAATTTTTGAGAAAGCTAATCCTCCCGTTTCCATCCAAACTAGGGGCGAAGCGATGCTCACTGCGTCCTCCCCTTACACCAGACACACAACCAGAGTTTGGTTTTTCCCTTGCTAGGTGCTAGTGCAGGGCTGCTCTGCTCATTGCACCCCAGGTGGGAGCCCCCCCGAGGTGCACAGCATGCTGCTCCTGGAGCCAGCGCTGCTTCTCCTACCCTTTGTCGCTGAGAGTAGAACAGGAAGAAATGTAACAACAGCCCTAATAACCGCGTTTATCAGTTGTCCCTCTATCAGTGGTTTTTTTGTCCAACAACTCAGCTGAATTCACAATCCATAATTCATCGTCCTTGTTAGTGGCGTCTGTGACTCTTAGGAGCTCACAACACGCCAACATTCATCACTGCTTCTGCGCGAGGCGGGCTGCAGGAGAGACAGTGAGTGAGACCAGAGTCTGGGCCTCGGGCCTTCTCTGACAGAGGACGCACTTCAAGTGCTGGTGGGACCTCGAGCTCCCCGAAATCCTGCCTGACCTCGATCAGTGAAATACTAAAACAAAAATAGGGTTTTCCGTTGTCACTTAATCTTCTAAATATTGGGGCCATGTTGCAGTTGTGCATAACTATCAGAAGCGAGTGGATTTTACTGCAGATTAAACTCCGTTTTCCTTACCTGAACTCTTCGGTGTAGTCATTCCTGATGTGCTCGGCCAGAGTCCCGCTGTACTGCAGGCAGCTCTTGAGGATGTAGAACCGCTGGTACAGCAGCACGGCCTGGCCAGGACTGAGCAGCTGGCACGGAGCCGAAAGCCCCTTCACCATCTGCTTCACCATGCTGGCCACGAAAGAAACCTAGTCAGGGGAGATGCAGGTACGTGTGGGCCGCACTTCGTCCGTGAGAGCCAGCGCCTTCCTCCGCCGGAGCCTAGAAACCCCGGCAGAAGCCCTCCGCCCTATCCCCGCATCGCTCCCCCTGGACGTGGCGCTCCCAGGAGCAGGCCCGGGACCGGCTGGCAGGGTCAGAGCTAGTACAGACTGTGGGGAAGCCTGGCTTCTGCATCTAACTGGAAATCTCTTCAAAAGGAAGGCACAGAAACGCCCATGAATTACTCCCTTTGGCGGAGATCCCCAGCGAGTTGTGTGCTGACCGAGCGCGCGGACACGGGGGTGAACAATGGGACCCTCAGTTTGGGGAGCGAGACCAGTTTAAGGGGAAAAGCCATTGTGGGCATTGATTCAGCAGGTGTTTCCCTCAGCACCCACCATGGAGCGCGCCCAGCAGATGCAGGAGCAGGCGCTGGCACTCAGACCTCCGCAAGAGGCGACCGGACTACTCTGTTCACGTTCCACTGGCCAAAGCAAGAGCAGACCCACCTCATGTCAAGCGGCAGGTGGAGCACAGCCCTGCCCAGTGCTGGGAGGAGGGCCCAGTGCCTGTGTGGTCCTAATAGCCCCACAAGAAAGACCCAAACAGCAGCCTGCAGCCAGGCCCCTGATGGGGAGGAGGAGGGAGCCGTGCAGGCCTCTCTGTGCCGACAGTGGGGCTCCTGACCCAGGCAGAGGGGTCAGAGCATCACAACATCATCTAGGAAGGGACACAAGTTTCAAGGCCGAGCGGGCGCTAAGCAGGTGGCGCGGGGAGAGAAAGCGCTGTGGGCAGGTGGCACGGTAAAGGTCCTGGGTGAGGCAGTGAGCAAGAGAGCCGCGCAGCCAGCGAGGGTCAGGCCAGGAGAGCAGGCCGGGCCGGAGGACGAGGGCAAGGAGTTTAGTCGTCCTTCAAGGGGAAGGGCTGCTGAGGCCTCTAACGCGGTGCGTGACATCCGATTTCTTACTGAATCAGGGTCTCCGCGGTGTGGTGGAAGGAGAAGGACGCACCATATACGTTCAGTTGTGTCAAGGCCAGAGAGGGTGGTAACACACGCGCGTGTGAGGGCTCTGAGGACAGACGCCCGGATGAGCCCAAGTGTTATCTGCACCTGCCAATTTATACTCACTATTTCACTAAATGTTCGTTTTTTTCACTTTATTATATAGTATTTTAATAATCTGTTTTCTACGGAGATCTTAGGGGATTTTCATGACATTAAGATCACATTTGAGATTTAAGTCGCTTAAACATCAGGCCCCAAATACAAAAACTTTTTAATTAAATAATACAATCTTCAAATCATCAAATTTATACTTCTGTTTGATAAACGTAAATACTTTTAGAGAAAATTTGTGTTTTATAAATTATGCACAAGAGCCTCTCATGTAAGCTTCATAATTCTTTTGTATTGATTACTTTTTTTTTTACAGATTTATTTATTTATTTATACAAGCACTGGGTACAGTCAGAAGCGCGGGAGGGTGAGAGAATCCACCAGAGCCAGAGCGGGGAGCAGAACAGGCAGACTGAGAAATACACTGCTGAGGGGAGCAGCAGGCACAGCAGGAGAGGTCTGCGCGCCATGTGGGACCCTCGCTGGTGGCCGGGGATCGAAGTGGCGCTGCAGAGGCTGCGGGCAGCTTCATAGCCCAGCGCTCAACCCCTGAGCCACCGGGGAGGCCCTGATTAGACTTTTTAATTTTCTTTCCTTGTTCTTTTTCAGACCATATTTGATTTCTCCCCTCAGGTGTAGTCCCCATAAATCTCCCGCCACCACCTCACCTATGACCATCACCAGAGCCCCTTGGGTAGCGCATCTGTCTAATTAGCCTCAGGTGGTGGTTTTGTGTTCACTTCTGGGCAGGGCACTTACTATGGGAGGACAGCCCTGCAGGAAGGACATCACCCAGCCAATAGCCAGTGTTGGTCCCAACCCAAGATTTCCCTAAAAAACTCAGAAAATAAACAAGTGACATTCATGAAGTTCAAGTTGTATCTTAAAGGATATTCACCCTGAAATACATTTCATCTTTAAAATCTTTGAAATCATTATTTAGTGAAATTAACTAGATGAGCACTTAAGAGCAAAAATAGTATCTAAGTCAACCAATTTTGGAGACCCTCTCTCATACAGTGTTTTTAAAAGGTATCTTATTAGCCATATAATTAACACGTGATATGTAGAACAGAAATATATGTTTTACCTGCTGAGAGACAAGAAGTATCTCAAATAGAAGTGCTGTAGCTGTATCTGTATATTCCTGAAGAAGCTTCTGTAACTAGAATTGAAAATAGTAATCAATGCAATATCATTGTCAGAGCCAAAAGATGGTCATGTCTCTTGGCTCTGTTTACACACTTGCAGAAGGATTTCTGATTAATTAATAATATCATGTGTGGTCGATTTTCCTATTCCATTGGTTCAGTCATTCTCAAAAACAAGAGACTCATAAAAAGACTGCACCTCTAATATAGGCTATGAAAGTACACCAGGGAAAGAACATAGAATGGCCCGTAGGATACACACACACACACACACACACACACACACACACACACAAACTGCACATTTAATTGCCAAAAGCAATCAAATCAACAGCCTTACTGCCTTTCAAGAAGGTAGAAATATACGCCCCTGAATTAAGGTGAGAGATTCTCTGGGCAGTTTAAACTTATATCCCACTTGATGTAAATATGAGAGTCAGAGACTTTTTTTTTTACTCTCGAAACCTCCAAACCACTGGTGAGTCTGTCTGCTAGCCCACAGGACGCTTGGCACACAAGAGCTGTGTCTGGGGCGTGTTAGGAGCTAACACGTCACCCCATGACAGTGTTCTTTGCAAGGAAGAGCTCGTTTGACATCCTGCTCTGCTAGATCTTGGAACCAAAGTTTGTATGACCCGCTGGTGGTCACACTAGGAGTCCAGGTCCAGGCCAGATCAGCAGGTCCAGAAACAGGAAACTCAGACCTAAGTGTTCTTCCAACTAGGTACTTTCACATGGAAATCCCGTCGGCAAGTCCGACGAGCTAATCCAAAGCCAAGCTCCTATTTCCTCTTTGAACCTACCCTTCTTACTGCGATTCTTGCCTGAGACTCTGGCCACGTGGAGGTCATCTCTCTTCACACTGTCCCATCAGGCCTCAGCTCCAGAGCCTGAGAATGTCTGCAGTCTACCCTTACAACTCTGTCCCTTCCTCCTCCTCTTCACTGCAGTAAACGCGCATCAGACATGGTGGGAGGTGTTGGGGACGCCGTGGAGAGCAACCAAGGCATGGTCCCTTTCTCACGGCGTTTATACTCTACTGAGGAACAGGCATCCGCCTAATAGTGAAATCAATCCATGCACAGCCGCACATGGAAGCAGGGGCGGCGCGGGGTGGGGCGGCGGGGGTGCAGATGGGCAGAGGAGCTCTAAAAAGTAAGTGTAGTTTTGTTGGGAGGTCAAGGACGTCTCGTATCCTCCCTCGCCTGTATTCCTGCCCTAGCTTAACACCTCGCCTTTCTTCCATCCCCCTGGAATCCGCGTCGTTCCCTTGGTGAAAGTGGTGTTGCCGACGCTTTGTGATAATATAATCATATTGTATCTGATTGACATGAGTCTCTCGTCCCCTGCCATGTGACGAGGGCAGAAACCGTGTTGGCTCTGCTTCTCGTCTGGACCCACTGCCGACAGCACACTCTTCAGCTCACGACAGTCTCAGTAAATGTTTCTTGCGTAAATAAGAAGAGTCTTCTGAAACAACTCTGGATGCCAAAAAATGGTCAGATCATGTCCAATCTTTTTAAAATAATTGTGTTGGCTTGCTCAAAATAAGCTCATAATAAACTTATCCTTCACGATAAGTATTTTCTAGGAAGTTTGAGAGTTCTGATGTCTTCGTACCACCTTAGAAAAACTCGCTGAACATGCACCAGTGAGACAGGCGTGGCGGCAGCCCGCTAAGGCAGGACCCTTGAACCGGAAATCTCAGAGACAGTGTTTTCTTGACGTGTTAGACTCTCAGTGTGGAATTAAATACACATAAACATTTCGTATAGAGACAGAGATAAACAGATTTATCTAATTATATAGAACACTCATTATTTTCCTTAGTTATACACACTTTGAAACATACAAAACGGATGTACTGACAAGATAGTTAAGTTTTTAAGATTAATGACAAAATATTTACTCTTTGATTGAATTATATCTCTATATTCTACAATGCCACGGTTCCCACGTGGTGCACAATAAGAAAACGTTTCTATAGTATACTGAGTCTGTTCCACAAATTCTCATCTCACCTCAGCATCAAAGGACATCTCAACTAAAGTTGAATCAGCCACCAGCTGGATATCAACCACAGGACAAGACTTTGGAATCTGAGGCTCACTAATTAAGATTACCAAGAGATTAAAAAGTATTCCCCTGAAAAGATAAATAAAAAGCAATTCATGAGTAAAGCTTTGAAAAGAAAAACAAGACCACATTTGCAGACGCTGACATTGGTCATGCATAAAAGTATGAAGCATTGGAGACCATCGTGATGAACTTCTGGGTCTTTGGCCTGGTGGTAGGACACTTTGGTAAAATTAGAATTTCTTGGTTGCCTCAGAGAAGATGTAGTTCTAAAAGTTCATATAACTTGGAAAAGCTGAAGCATCTGTTCTGTTTCCCGCTCTGTCTCTGGTGAATCCTCTCACCCCGCCCCCAATGCCTCTGGCCTGTACCCCAGCTCTTGTATACATAAATAAATAAATCTTAAAAAAAAAAAAAAAGAAAAAAAAGCAGCAGCAAGCCGCTGTGAGTTTACAGCTGTAAGGAAGTTAATTCTGCAAACAATCACCCCAAAGAGTTTTGAAGACGAGACATGCCCCAGCTGACACCTTGAGTGCAGTCTCTGAGACAGGACCCAGGGAAGCCACGCCCAGCTCTCCTGACCGACAGAAGCTGAGGTGACCAGTGCAGGTTGTTTTGAGCCGCTAAGTTTCTGGTAGTTTATTGCCTGGCACTAGAACACATGCGATACCGTTACGTTGCTCGTTTACTGTGCTGGATAATGCTACGGGTAATCTGATCTGACCCAGCATACACATTGTATGTGGCAAACATACAACAACATACTGTGTGTGTCGGAAGACACGAAGGGAGTCCGTCGTATCAGGAGAGAGGTCTGATGGAGTCGGGCTGGATGTGGTTGAACCAAGTTAAATGTAACGGTTTCAAACAAAGGTTAGTTCAGAGTGATTTCTTTTTTCAACTTGAATAGAGAAAGGTAGAGGCCAAAAGGTGGGAAAAGGTGACATGATTTAGTTATCATTTCCGTGTGGGAAAGACAGAAGTAGCAGAAGTACTGATGCTCCATTTTGGAGACTGGGGAGGTGGCCCACTGCCGGCGGCACACGCGAGTGCACAGGAAGGAAGTTGTGTTTTCCTTGTCCAGTGGACAGCAGGAGCCGCAGACCAAACAGCCCACAGCCTGTTTTTGCACATAAAGCTTAACTCAGATATGAGTGAATGTGCTCATTCATGTATGTATTGTCCGTGGCTGCTTTCTGCTGTCAGGGTGACTTGATTAGTTACCACAGATGATTGCAGGACTGAAAAGTCAAACATACTTACTCCATGGGCTTTCACAGAATAGCTCAGCCTCTTGGCAGCAGCCTTCTGCCCGCCTGTGCCTACGCAGGCGTCTCTCAGCAAACCTGCGCTGCTGGGGACAGCCCTTTCTGCCCACTTGTGTCCAGACAAGGGTCCTTTATTCTCTCCCTTTTTATAATAAACCTGCCCTTTTGGGTATTAAAAAAAAAAAAGAATATTTGAACCACCCCTGCTATAAAACACAGTGTTCCCATAACCACATTGTGTACACAGCAAGTTGCTCAATGGGTGCTAATGAATATTATCAGTACAATTATTGGTAAAGTCTTTAAAAATAGGCTGGACAGATATGAGTCCTGAGACTCCCCCGGTTCAGATGTTTTAGAGTCCATGGCCTTCATGTAAGGTCTTCCTGCATACCCCTGCAGGGCATTTAGATTGACGAGGGTAGGAAAAACTTCAGAGTTTAGCCAAAATATGGTCCAAGGATAGAAATCAAAGTCTATAAATCATACACAAAGGCCACGCAGATAATGCAAGTCTATAAATCATACACACATGCCCGCGGATGCACACTCTGTGGCCAGGAGGCGTCTGTGCCCACCTGTGCGCCTCTTCATTCTTCCAATAACACATCCTTGCTGCCCGCCGTGGTGTAGGCACGGAGCCACCCCACCCCAGACACAGCGAGGAGGGCTCGTGACTGAGGTTTCACCCACAGAACACGAGCAGACGTCCTTTAGGCCTTGCTTAAAAAAGGAGACTTGCTTGCCTCTGCTGCTCTCACTGCTGCCAGGCCTTAGTGGAGGCAAGAAGGTTGGTTAGTTTTAGCAGCGAGTGCCAGGGTGGCCTGAAAGATGATGGCAGCAGGAGCCTCCCTTCCTGGCTAGTCTGAGAGAGAGGTAGAAACCTCTGTCTTCTCTGCGCCGCAGCAGAGAAGGGTCTATAAACCCCGACACCTGTCACTTGGAGGTCGCCGTGTTATCTACTGAAAGAAGCTGCTACAACTCCTGCCTGTACCGTGTCCTTTTTCTGTTGTGTAGATATAAGGGTACTCTGGAAAGTTCTAGTACAGACCCCTGGCTTTTAATGTATGCTGGATCATTTGGTCTTTTTCAAGTTCCCCAGCCTATGACAAAACACAGAATTATGCTAAGAAAATCTTTGTGCCCCTGATGATCTAGAGAGACAGAGAGAACTCGGCATGTACCAATTAATCTTTTCATCACAGAAGGAAATGAAGAGACGGAAGAGTTTTATATACTTACAAGGGGACTGATCAGAGAACTGAGAGTTAGGAGTTTGGGAAGACACGCAACAGAACGGTTAAGGGGCCGAGGTTACAAGCTCAGTGTCGTCTAAAGACCTTACTTCTTAGCTGCCAGCGTGCTCAGGCGCGATGACTCGGTTTCTGTTTCTCTGAACATCAGTCCCAGAGTCTGCACAATTTCAATGCACGCCCTAGAAAATAAAGAGGAAAAAGCTCTGAAGTGGCACCCATTCGTTACAAGTTCAGAATTTCACGCGGTCAGTAATTCTTGATGGAACTGTACTCACACACCCACAGAGTAAAAGCCTGGGAAGGGGAGTCTCATATCACATGGGGCCACTGTGTGGGCGCCTGTCGGCTGCTGCGGGGTGGCACTCACAGCAGTTGAGTGAATAGTTGGATGTGGGATTAATAGTCATGGTCATTAACAGTCATGGTGGTTTGACTTTCCCAAGGTTGTGAGGATAATCACCTACTACTTGATTTTCCAATTACTTTTCAGTTTCTACCTTTCCAAGTAGGGGATGCTTGGCTCAAAGTTCCAAAGGCAAAAGAGGGAACACTGTGAATGGTGTCTTTTGTCCAGACACCCCTTCTTTCCTCTTACAGCCAGTATTATTAGTTTGTTGTATTTTCTTTCTTTAAAAAATAAAATGAATGCCATTTAAAATACCTATATGAAGGGCCTCCCTCGTGGTGCAGGGGTTAGTCTCAGCACTATCGCCAGCCACTGTGGCCTGATCCCTGGCCAGGGAGTGACCCACAGGGCGCAGCAGACCTCTCCTGTCTCCCCGCTGCTCCCCTCAGCAGCATGTTTCAGTGGATCTGCCTGTTCTGCTCCCCACTGTCTCTGGTGAATCCTCTCACCCCTGCACCTCTGGCCTACACCCCAGTTCTTGTATGATAAATAAGTAAATCTTTTAAAAAAATCTATTTGAGGGCCTCCCCGGTGGTGCAGCGGTTGAGCACTGGGCTGCAAAGCTGGCTGCAGCCTCTGCAGTGCCGGTTTGATCCCCGGCCACCAGGGAGGGTCCCCCATGGCGCGCAGACCTCTCCTGCCGCCCGCTGCTCCCCTCAGCAGTGTCCTTCAGTCCTTCTGCCTGCTCTGCTCCCCGCTCTGGCTCTGGTGAATTCTCTCACCCTCCTGTGCCTCTGACTGTACCCAGTGCTTGTGTAAATAAATAAATAAATCTTTTTTAAAAAATCTATTTGAAGCAAAATTTGCAGCCCTGTTAATCATTGATACAGTATATACTTTATCGAGTGCCTTCTATTTATCTTTAACACTCTAGGGGGAAAAATATCTGTAATTATCCAGTTAGTACTTACACCAGCTCATCAGCCCTTTGGCTTTTATTCTGAAGTGTGTTCTTATCCCTAGACTCTGGCAAATACTCATGAAGTTTGTCCACAAGGAAATGGAACAGGTCACTGGTCTGTGGAAGCAAGCGGAGAGGAAGATGGCAGTGAAGGAATCTGTTGGTAAAACGCTCCTGACATAGTAAAAACATGAAGAGGTCGGATCTTTGATTGAAGAGGAAGTAAATCACAACTTCTCGTTAATACTGGCACAGCCCAAATTGAAAACATGCTTTTCCTTCCCACCCGGAGCCGGCTGCCCTCCTGACCGAGAGAGAGAAGACATCTGGGGGGCGTAGGAGGCGCCTTCTCGGCCCCCTCGCACACTCGCATTGAAGAGCATTCAGGAAGGTCATCCAGCGACACGGGAACAGTATGTTAAATCTGGACTATTGTGATTCCTGCCCTCCCAGAGTAATCTGGCTTCCGTGAGGACATGAGACAGCAGCCAGGGAAGCTCACTGGGAGGTGCTCACCAACACGGAAGCGAGGGGCAGCACAGGCCCAGCCTCTGGAGACGGTGGGGCTGACGTGGCGCTTCTCTTACCTCTGGGACTGTGGGTCACCATTTCTGTCTAAATAAATTTTGACTTAAAAATGGAGGAACCAATTTTTTGTGTGTTTCTGTTCAGTCTCATGAGATAAACTGAGCATGAAGAAACGCAATCACCCGTGAAATCTGGCCGGTTGGTCCTGAAGAGAAACAGAATGTACCTGCATCTCTTTCCTGTTCTCTGTTGTTCATGTCCCTCCAGCGCTTTCGTTTACAGGTTTTCCCCACTCTCTGAAAGTTAGAATTTCCATTTTGGTTTGATTTGGTTGATTATTTTTTGGGAAATGCCAGTACCATTTATATGGGTTTTTGTTTTGTTTTGTTTTGTTTTGCGCATTCCCAGACCCAAAGAGTGACCTACCCAATCAAGCAGAATGTTCTGCTTTCATCCAGCAGGGGAACCCGGGAGCTGACTCTGCTTAGATAGGTGCAGGTGTGCCTGTTTAGGTAACACGCATGAGGAAGCTAAGGATGTCGGGTGGAAAGCGGGAACAGAAGCGCGGGGTGTGCGCCAGCCCTCAGCAGCTCTCGCACCCCAGGGCCCTGACGGGTGAGCAGAGAGTGTCGTTCTGCAAGCTGCGTTTGAGCCCTGGCCTCTGAGCATGAATCAGCTGCCGCTGGCTAGAAACTATCTGTGCTTTCTAGGATGCTCTAGTGTGTCCTTCCCTTCGCTGGTCAGCGCTGTTCCTTCATGGCCGTGGTGTCAGGGTTAGGAAGAGTCTTTGCAAAGTTCAGGCGCTGCCTCACACATCTGACGTGCCTCATAAATATCAGTTACTGTGACCTCCCAACTGTGCGCAGGCTCAGGAAATGCTATGTCAAAGCAAACCAGCCTGAAGAGGACAGACTGTACATGCCAAGGAAGTGCAATCCTGAGACACGCAGCACTAATTACAGGGACAAAAGCACAATAGTTGCCTGACGCCGGGGATGGGAGGAAACTGACCGACTGACCGTCTGTCTGGGTGACAGACTCATCCTAGACCTCCACTGGTGGTTGTGCAGATATACACACTTGTGAAGATGCTGAACTGTATGTTAAAGATGAGTGTTTTATTAATGTAAATTATACCCCAGTAATTTCTCCAAAGAAGATCTAAAATGGCCAGTAAGCACATGAAAAACTACTCAACTTCAGTGATCATTAGGGAAGTGCAAGCCCAAACTCCGAGATACCACCGCACAGCCACTGCGGGCTCTCTCAGAAACTCAGGCAGCAGCACGTATTGACAAGGGTGTGGGAAACTGGCCCGCGTGCACCGTGGGTGGGGATGCAAAGTGGCATCGATGCTGTGGGAAAATAGGATGACCGGATGATTCAGAAATTCTGCTTCTGGGTACACACTCGGAAGAACTGAAAGCAGGTCTCAGAGTCATCTGTATACCCAGGTGTCCAGCAGCAAATGCACACGCAAACGTGGGCTGTACGTACTATGGAATTCAGCCTCAGCAGCAGGGAAATTCGGACCCGAGGTATAAGACATTATGCTCAGTAAAATAATTCAGTCACAAAAGAGACGCCCTGTAGGAGTCCACTCAGATGAGATATTTAGACTAGTGGAAATCAAAAATTTAGAAAGGAAAATGGTGTTGGTCAGCGGCTGGTGAAGGGAAGATATGGGGCATGACTGTTTCGTGAGTAGCGTGTAGCCGAAGTTTTGCAAGATGGAAAGAGCCTGGGGATGGGTGTGCTGACGGACGCACAACAGTGTGAACGCACTCGGTGAATACCACGAAGCCGCAGACTTAGAAATGGTTAAGATGGTAAATGTTGGGGGTGTTCTACCACAATAAAAAGCCGCTGAAGAAAAGAAATCTCATGTAAGAGAAACAAGCTGGAAAAGAACATGAATCGGGCCTCCCCGGTGGCGCAGTGGTTGAGCGCTGGGTTGAGAAGCTGCCCGCAGCCTCTGCAGCGCCGGTTCGATCCCCGGCTGCTCCCCGGCCACCGGAGGAGGGTCCCACATGGCGCGCAGACCTCTCCTGCCGCCCGCTGCTCCCCTCAGCAGTGTGCTTCGGTCCTTCTGCCTGCTCTGCTCCCCGCTCTGGCTCTGGAGAATTCTCTCACCCTCCCGCGCTTCTGACTGTACCCAGTGCTTGTATAAATAAATAAATAAATAAATCTTAAAAAAAAAAAAAAATCCCACTAAAAAAAAAAAAAAAAAAAAGAACATGAATCAAGAACTCTTTATTCTTACTCAGTCACTGAAAACAGCTGCTACTGATGGCTGCTATGTGGCAGGTACTAAGGAGGCAATGAGGCAACCTCTTGAGCGAAACACACAGACATGGTGTCTCCACTCAGAAAGCTCACAGCTTACCAAACTATGAAGACATCGCTTCAAAATTGAAAATTGTATTGGTAATAAAATTTTAAAAGGAAGAACTACCTCAAAAAATTACACCCTGACAAAGTTGATTTGAAAAGGAGAAAATGTGTGTGCGTGTGTGTGCATGTGTGTGTGTGTGTGCATGTGCAGGACTCATGTGGCGATCTATTACCACAGGCATAGACACCATTTTCCATCTGGGTGCAGGTTCCTAAGGGAGCTTCACACCACCTTAGAGTCTCCAGGGAACCTAACTGCAAACCTGGACAACAGCTTTAGCTAAGACAGTGACAAGCATTTACAGGAAAAAGCCCTGAAAAGATAGGAATATTGACTTTATTAGTCATTCATGTTAACTTTCTGGAAATGCGTATGAGCTTAGATTTAACCAACATTTTACAATGCAGCATCAGAATGCCACACGTGTACAATTCATGCTGGAAGAGGCTGCCTTTGATAAACAGGTGAAACAAATTTTAAAGATTAAAAATAAAACAGAACACCTACTTTCCAGAAAAGTCTTTTCAGAATGAAGTTTTTCTGGGCTGCAGCTTTAAGTTCTGTAACTAAACACACTGTCTTCCTCAAGGTATTGTCTTTAAGGAAAAGTTCAGATTTAAGTTGACTGAAGTACTTCATTTTCTCTTCAGATCTACAGAAACAAGGAAACATCAGTTAGGAAACCTGATCCCCCCAAGCTGGGCTGACTCCTCTCCACGACTTCTCGCCACACCCTGTGTTCCAGCTCCAGGGCTGGAAACACTCTCACGCCCTCTCAGCCTCGCCGAGCTGCTCCCAGAACAGCTCCGGGCAGGCACGGACCTTACAGGACAGTAGCCGCTTGATATTTTTCCTTCAAATCAACTCACTTTTTATTTTCTGCTTAGATAAGTTGATGCATAAAGAAAACCTTTATTGCAGCCTCACAGGGCACCCCGGGAGCGCCCGACAGTATCTGTAGAAACGCCTGAAAGCAACGCTCCTCCTGAGCCGGCGCTGCGTACCCAGGCCCGAGGCCTGCCCTCGCCCCGACGGAAGGGCAGCGGAGCCCTGAGCGCTGTCACCCCCAAGCCAAGGCGTCGGCTCCCCCCCCAGATCAGGTCCTTGGGAAAGGAGGCGCTGTGCGGCGGGGGATTCTTTCTTGGGGAGGGGGGGCGGGAGGCGCCACCTGATCTCAACTCCCACCACTGCCCGCGTGGTCTGGCGCGCAGGGAAGCTGGCGTGGCTTCTCCCGCAGCTTTCCCAGCTCCTGCGCTCCCAGGCCGCCTTCTTCACGCTTCTCAGCCCAGTCCTCCCACTTCACCCCGCTGGGTCACTCGTGTGCTCGTCACCAGCTGGGAGCGACACTGTCGGGCTTGACACTGTCCCGCCCCGCCGTGCTCAGGACAAGCAGCTTCCCCTTGAGCCAGTGCCACAGCAGCAGCCCCGGCCTGGGGCCGCCGGCCCGGCCCGGCGACCATCACCGCGGGGCCCGAGCTGGAAACTACCGTCTGCTGCGGGGAGTCAGAGGGGCTGAACCGTGCACACAACCCGACGTTCAGAAAAGCGGGGTGCAAAGTAACAGACATTTCATGTTCCATGTAGGTTGATAGAAACTTCGCAGACTTTCTATTTGAAGTAAAAATAGTTTCGCCTCCTGCTCTCCCAACCCGACTCCAGCCATGGACGCCAGCGCTCCTGCTGCTCTAGGGCGTCTGGCCGGGAAGATGAGAAAGCCCTAGACGCGGGTGGGGGGAGGCTGGACCCCCGTGTGAACCCCTCGATGCCGGCGCTGCCTGGGGCGGGGCTGGGGCGGGGCGCACGAGGGCCAGGGGGTCAGGTGCCGTCCAGTTGGGGATAATGGCGCGACGCCCTATGCGGGAAGCCTGGCGAGGGTCGGGCTTCAGAAGGAAGGCGCTGGACTCTGTTTGGAACATGCTGACTGTGAATTCCCGTGAGACCATGAAGGGTGAGGTCCAGGGAACTGTGTTTGCTGACCCGCCGGAAATTCAGGGCCGAGAGCTGAGGCCGAGGTGTGTGTGAGTGTGGTGCTCAGCAGCACGCGGCGGGAGAGGCAGAGAGGAGAGAACCCTTCTGCGTGCAGCTCCCCTGTGCCGCCGCGCCTTACCTGTACGGCCTCTGACCTCTTCCAGCAGAGCTGAGCGCGCTGGCATACAGGGGGTCTTGTAAGAGGGTGGCTTTCTGGAAGAGAGGAAAAGTGGGGGGAGTTAGAAATTTTGTTTACTGATAATCGATTCCTGGTTTTAGTCAATATCATATACGTATACTTTTTTTTAAGATTTATTTATTTTTATACAAGAGCTGGGGTACAGGCCAGAGGTGCGGGAGGGTGAGAGGATCCACCAGAGACAGAGCAGGGAGCAGAGCAGGCAGACAGTGAAAGACACTGCTCAACCCGCTGCACCACCGGGGAGGCCCCGTATGCACTTTCTTAAATCCTTCCCCTGCTGCATGATTTCTCTCTCTCACTCACTTCAGTGTTTAATTGTACCACAGTGAATTTTTTCCTTACTAGTATTTTTCAAGTCTTAAGGAGAACATTTGCTCATTATAAAATAAAAATTTTCTATCAAAATCAACCAGTATGGAAGTGCACGAAGTGAAAGGTAAGAGTTCCTTGTCTCTCCCTGTCTGTGCCTTCCCTCTGTCCAAGGGCCGTACTCTTCTCAGTTTCAGTTCTATCCTTTTACGTATATAAAAACATTAATTTTAACACATTTATAGTACTTGCATGTTTGAAGATTTGTTTTTATACTATGTATTTAATGCTAGCCGACCTATATCACACTAATCTCAAATGTTTTTTTCCAGTTAATATATGGTAGAAAAGTTTTCCAGTCTGGGTATATACGCTTATTTCAATCTCTGGGACGATTGTCCAGTTCAGTATTCCATAGCGGAGCCTCAGATCACCTATTCATGGGGTTACTTTTTCCTTAAATCGCTAGCGTTGCCATTTCTCATTCATTCTGAGTCCTCGAAACAAATTAGCATGTCATTGTTTTCAACAAATTCTCTAAATAATCTTCTAATTATGCTGAAGCTTTAACAGTCAGGTCAGGAGGAAGTTCAGAACCGTTGCTGATGTGTGGCCCCAAACTAGCTCACGCCTGCCCGTGCCTAATATGGGAGCAGGTAAAGGTGGGGCTAATGCACAAGAAATCCAGAAGCGCATTGCCAGTGCTGGCCTGTGTGAGCTGCGCTCTCTGACGGCAGAGCCGGCTGAGACATCGCCCCGTCGCTGCCAGACGCCACCTGCTCACCCGTGTGCCGGGGCAGATCCAGCTGCATCCCGTGGGGCCCGGGGGGCTGGCTGAGGCCGCTCTTGCCCTGTGAACCCCAGACCCTTCTCCTTTCCTTTCAGACACTCCTCGTTCATGAGCATTTCCCCTGTTGCGACAGTCTGCACAAACCGCCTCCTGAGTGTCCAGTGTTTCTCCTTCTCCACCTTATCACATTCAGATTTCACCACCTTATTCATTGCCAACGCGGGCGGGGGCGCAGAGGGGCACGTTTGCTCTAAAGAACAATCCCGAGTCACGGCTGGCTTGTGAGGACACTTACTATAATGTAATTGTTCCACGAGCTCCTCAGGTGCAGGTACATGGAGGACGTTCTGGAAACAATGTACAGATGCAGCTGGGCCTGCTTCTTCTCTAGGCCGGGGCTGCCGCGTGCAGGCGAGGACAGGGAGGCGTTTCCTAAGACAGACTCTGGTCCGCTCTCGCCGTGCCTGAAAGGGGCTTCACGCGGAGAGCCTTTGTGAGGCAGAGGTCCCTGGGGCTCCGTGCTGGCCGCCCTGCAGGACGGCGTGCTGGCCGGCCGGCCGGGGCCGGGCGTGGACTGGCCGCTGCTCCCAGCCGGCATCGGGAGGGGCCGAGAGGCGCGTTGGCCTTGACGGGAGACGTGGGCAGGAGACCAGAGGGCCGGCGCCTGGGGTGGCGTGCTGCTCTCCGGGAAGCACCTGGCAGGCAGAAATCGGTGTTAGGTGTTACTTGGGATTTCCCAGGAAGGAGCAAAGAGGATCTGGTGGCCCAAGTGCGGCAGCGTCGGACTCTGAAAGGAAACGCTTTCACAGAACAGAAATGTTCTCGTGTTACGAGCGGGGACTGCGCTCGTTGCCCTTCTTGAGAACAGGACAGTGACGGCACCGGTCTCAGCGTTTCCGGGAGGACTGATGAGAAAACAGGTGCGCCGCGTGGCGCTGGGAAGACCGGGCAGGTGCTGCCTGGTGAGATGATCCTCGACTGCCTGGAATTGCTGGTTTATCATTTTATGTGCAAGTGTCTCATCTCCCTTATAGAACTGAACCTCCGTGCAAGTGGAAAGCACGTTGTGTTTATTAGCTCTGAAATGAACCTTAAACAGATGGAAATTCACTCCCTCCACACAGTGGCAGGAATCATGCCGAATCCCCCCCGCCCCCGCGCGCCCCACACCGCTGGCCTGTTCACACCCCCCCCGAGCAGCCACCCCCAGCTCCTTCAGTCTTAGCATCTGCACCTGGTGCTGTGGCCCCAGACTGGGATCCAGAAGGGGGGGTGAGGGCACCCTCTCTTCCTGACATCCCACCCCGCCGTGTGACGTGGCACGTGGCGTGGCCAGATGTTACACACACAACGGAACCCTAACCCCGCGCGACCCCCCGCGGTCACCCTACTGTGATGCTGTTGTCTGTCACCTGTATGTTTCCACGCGGATCACCACACTGTATTTCTACAATACACGTGGTCTCCATCCATAGCTCCGGGTTCACAGCACCCGAAACCCTCGGAGGGGTGGAAGGTGGGCGGGAGCGCAGGGGAGAGGGGTCTGATGGAGGTTGACTGGGGCTCTGGTGGCGGGAGCGGGGAGACCACATGCAGCTGTAGAGGTGTGCGGCTGTCCCCCAAGACACGCACTGTGCGAGCGTCCACATTACCTCACTAAGTATAACTTTAAAAAGGGCGGGAGACCAGACAGAGGAGCTGCTTGCTGACGTTTCCAGCTGGGTACCCAGCACGGGTCTCTGGGAACAAAGCCCGTAAAGCCGTCATTCACTAGCCAGTGAGCGCTACACCGAGTTCTACGGAGAGCTGTGTCTCCTCAGACGGGTGTGCGGGCGAATCTGTGGTGACGTGTCATCTAAGTAGACAGCAACTTTAAAACATTCAGAAAAAGTTGCTTCTTATAAACTGTGCTCATAACCAAAGCTTATAAATTACAGATGATGCATTTATGATTTTTACTAAGACCTCATCTAACCTGTGACGATAATAGATGTTGACGAGAGGCCCGTCCTGCCTCTGGCTTGCTCGTGTATCATGTAATCTTGGGGGAGAACGCTGACGTCCTCAGCCTCAGTTTCCCCGTTGCATAGCTGCATTGTGAGTGGACTAGTCCAATGAGTAACGCACTTGTACCTGTTAAGCACGTGTTCCATGGGAAATACTACTTTGAAAGCCTTAGTCAGCTATGAAAATAAAGTCAAGGTGAAGCACACGTCAGAAATGAGACTACAAAAGAAACTGGCATTTCTACGCACAGAGCCGCGGGAGTTAAGGGCGGTGACTTTTAGGAAGTCCCTGCGTGGCCGGTTGCCAGGGGAGCCAGCCAGGTAATTAGAGGGCCGGGCCTCTCCGTCCCACAGGCTCCCCCACTGGGGCAGGGGCGGGGGGGAGGTGGGCTGAAGGGTGAATCACTCACGCCTATGCATGGCGCCTCTGTGAATGCCCAAGAGAAGACGGGTCAGGGTCCCAGGCTGGTGGACACATGGAAGCGCTGGGAGAGAGGCCGCCTGCGCCGCCCTGAGGCGCCACCCCCATCCCCCCATAGCTTGCCCTGTGCCTCTTCCGCAGGACTGGTCTCGAGTTAAATCCTTTTATGAGAAACCCTGATCCAGTAAAACCCTTCTCTGAGTTCCACGAGCCTCTGTGGTAAATTAATTGAGTCCATGGAGGAGGCCGCAGGAAGCTCTGACGTCCAGCCACCTGGTCAGAAGTACAGGTGACCGCCCGGGCTTGCAGCTGGCATCTGAAGGGCGTTGTGTGGGACCGTGGCCTCGGACGCCCTCTCTGAGAACAGTGTCAGACCTGGGGTGGATTCCCGAGCCCCCTGCTGAGGTGGGGAGGTATGCACCCCCACTTCACCCTCAAGGTGTGCACCCCCACATCACCCTCACGGAAGCACATTATCCCCAGAGATGCCGGTGTTGACGGACAGTGCTGCCAACATGTCTGAGGAGAGCAGGTGCTCAGGCTGGGGTTTTCAGGCAAATGACTGTTCCTAGTTCAGAAATGGCTGAGACACACTCTGGGCCTCTTTAAAGCAATAGCTCCTCTTAATTTCTGCCAGAAATGCTTCCTTTTAGAGAAAAACACAGGTTCAGTTTCTTGACTTTTTTCTTGCAATCTGCTCATGACATGTAACTAAGCAGCACATCCTCGCTTCTTAAAAATGCCACGCGGATCACGTCTTCAGAAGTTCATCCTTTCTCGGGAGACAGGCTGCTTCTAAATCTTCAATAGCAAAATACCGCCAGAGGCTGCAGGTGGATATAAGCTCAGATAAAAATTCACCCTGGTGGGTGTGGGCCTCGCAGACCGGGCCTGAGGCTTTGTCACTCTCTCTCTTCCTCGTGGCTTTTCAAGGCGAACTCCATTAAATTTACATAAATCTTATTCTGTGTGTCTCCTGCTGACGCCTACTCCCGGTTTTAAAGCGTCCTTACATAGGTCACAATACTTTTTCTAAAAGCACAGGTTAGTGAAATGTCTTAGACTTTCTGTTGGAAGAACACAGGACACTTGCCTCTGATGAAGAGCTCCGCCAAGTCTCGAGAAGCCTAAATACCAACCTCACTATCAGCGCCCACCGCTCTGTCTTCCATCCCGCAGGCGCTAGAAGGCCAGCTGTTTACTATCGCCCTGAAAAGTGACCGTACTCGTGTCCGTCTCATGTCCCAGGGTGACTGTACGCTCCGTAGGACCCGCGCATCCCGTAATTAGGCCTGAAACGTTCCCCCTTGGAGATGCTTCAGAGCTCCGTGCATGATGACATCCTTTAGTCCACTAATTAGTCTTCTGCCCTGGCCTGTCTCCTGTTCACACTTTTCACTCCAATGCTTAGCCATGGAGGTGGGGCGCCCGTAAGTGCAGACAGCAGGCCTCGCTCCCTCGCCCTCTGTTTGGGAGCCACGCCTCCCCACACGCGAGCACACAGAGCTGCCATGTTTCTGAAGACCCTCCCTCCTGGCGGACATTTTCCAGCAAAGACTCATTTATTCAAACTAGGCCTCAGAGACATGCCCAGGATTTTTACCTTTGACGCAGGGAGGTGTGTGAGCTGACCTTTGGTGAGCCGAGGAGTAAAAGATGAAGGTACAGTCAGCGGCTGTTCTCCCCTGGAGGGCGCAGGGCTCGGTGAGAGAAACAAACTGACGAACAAGCAAGAGAGGACAGAGATGGAGGCCCAGCCCCAGCCCCAGGCTCGCCATTCCCACACGCCGAGGTCTGGCGCGCAGCCTTTGCTGCACATCCACAATCAGAGGCCAGCAGTTAGACGAGGCCCCGCAGGCAGACACCCGCTTGTGTGTCCATGTCCTTCTGTTGGGTGAAGGCTGAATTACACAAGTGCCCCCAATAATTCCAATGAACTCCCCTCTTCGTGTACGTTGGCTTTCTGCCATCTTCGACAGAGTGCTGACTCCACCGTAACCTGCCCTGGGGACCAGGCAAGATGGCGCTGAGCTGCAGGCGTCGGGGGTGCGAGCCCCAGATTCTGGCTTATTCGGGCAACTTCAAGGCCGCGCAGGCACTCTGCTCGCGCTCCGTGGACGTGCTTGAGGGATGAACTCTCCTATGGAATTGACTCTTTGTTTTGGACGCACACATTTGTAAGAAAGCTTCTCAAGTTGTGTGGTTTTATCCCCTTGTAGAAGGCAGAACAGCAGGAACACGTGACCCTTCGCTCCGCCTCGGCTTCAGGGTCATCTCCATGGCGTCGTCTGAAGCTGGAGTTGGAGAGCTGAGTGGACCCAAGACAGCAGGCTCCCCCGGGGGGAAGCCGGGTGGGGGGCACTAGCACCCTCATCCCCAGGCTGTCCAGTAGCCCCCACCTGGAGCCCGTCATGACAGACAGCGAGGTGCACCACAGCTTTGGAACAGACCCCGAGTGGGGGTTCCCTCTTCCTCTGCAGCCTTTTGCAGTGTTTCCCCAGAGTGGCCTGTCCCTGTGCCATGAGCTGTGCTCTCGGCCCTGGCCCCCCTTAATTTCCTGACGCCTGTCGCGCCGCTGGAGACCCACGCCTCCCTCTTCCCGCTCAGGTCTGGGCACTTGGAAGTGTGTGACAAAAACAGTCTTTGAGTCCTGCAGCTTTGGGAATTTAATTTTCAATATTCACCGAGACTTCGCTGCCAGCAGACACGCTGGCATTTGAACTGCCAGGGGAGCTCTCCCCCCAGACGAAGGTGCTGCGGCCGCGGGGCTCCCTCCTCCGTGCCCGGGCCAGCTTTGCCACGCTCATTTCTCTGAAGGGCGCCACCGTGCAGTTGGCCCAGCTTGCAGCCAGCGCTGTTTCTCCCTCCGTCCTTGTCAGGGAGACAGAGTCTTGTGGGCGCTGCCTCTGAACTCGCCCCCACCAGCCCTTCTCCTTTCTTGGACGGCCGCGCGCCCGGGGTGCCCGCTCCTTCCTGCGGTGCTGGGCCCGTCCCCGTGTGGGTCTGCCTGAAGCACACCTGCCGGGCCCCCTTTCTGGAAGAACGGGTCTCGCACGTCATGCTCCTGCTCCAGTGTCTCGCCACTTTCCTCACAGTCCATGAAATGATGCAGAAAGCCTTCGCCTCAACTTTCAAGACCCCCCAAAATGGGGGCCAGTCTTACCCTGTACTCTTACATCTGGTATTCATGTTCTGTTCTGGGCCACGGGACCTTTATTAAAATGTTCTGCCTTTTCCTGCCCCATCGCCCCCTCCACGCCCCCCTCTG